GCCTTGGACGGCTTTCGAAACGCTCTGGTTTTTGTTGGAGATGGATGTGGCGGAAAATGGGTGTATCTGAAAATGTTGTCTACCCCATTTTCCCAATGGTTTTGCTGATCATTATCCCTATTTTTTATGGCTATTTGTTTGGGAATATAGCCTATTTTCAGACAAACCCAAATGAAGCGACAAAAAAACCCGGAACTTGCCAGGTTGGTGACATAGATTTGATGGATGGTTCATCCTTGTTGACTAATGGAAAATATGCCTAGGAAAGCTGTGGGATTCTGCAGATTCCCTGAAACCAGCTGTGAACCACGGTAAATAGCTGAAGTTTTTGGCTGGTGCAAACTGGGGACTGCTGGAATTGTGGGGAATCCTGGCATGTATATATATATATTATATATATATATATATATGTAAAATTATTTATACACACATACGCATCATGCACATGGAGGATCGAGTCAGAGAGAGAGAGAGGGAGAGATACGGTATCCCCATTCTGAACGGTCAAAGAGTAGGCAGTTGCGGTTCTTCCTCCAGCAGTTTCGCACCTTGAGGGTATACTTCAGACAAGATCTTGACTACATTCTGAGGGAACAGGGCGGTACGGCCCAGTCTCGACATGATTTGATGATGTTGCATGAAGACAGTCGTTTTCTCTTGGTATGTCTATCCCAATCGTCTACTATGTTTCCATGGCTGTCCTTTGTGGTTGGAGAGCAAATCTCCCAGGATCCTTCACCATCGGTCCTCCACATATTCGACGCATCATTCAGGTGGCGCAGTGGGATCAGTGGGGAGACAGCAAACCCGCCATGGTGGAACTGTGGAACTTGATAAAACTGGGTGATTTCTTCGACCATGGTGAGAAATCCAGGGTGAGAGTTGACTGTTGAAACCACCAAGCAGATCAACGTGTTTAAAGAAAGGCCAAGGTATGTGGGTAGACCCTGCTTGGGGTGCGGTCAACGGTTTCAAGGTTTGGGTCCTCGAGAAATCGCATGTGGAATAAAGCTACAACAGTAGCGCTTGAACATTCTCAAGCTCTTTACGACGTTTGTGGTAGAGGCTGCACACACACCATGATATGGTGATTGTACAGAATGTATGGATGTATAAACACATTACACTACAGTACAGTACATGACATGACATGACATGGCATGACATCGCATTGCATTGCATATATATATATATTTATACATGGAAGCAAAACCGGTGTTTGTCAAGCACTTGCACTAACAATCCCCCGCTATCCCTGCTTGAAATTATGTGGTTGTTCCGCTTGCTTCTCTCGAGTTTTAGGTATAGAAATGCAAGATGCTATATACATAGCACACAAAGCACCAAGTATTTCCAATTACAATAATGATGTTTTGCACAAACTTGAAGATTATTTCCATTGCTAGGTTCCACTACTTCCAGGGTATCCCTGACCCTAGAATTTATCTAGCTGATAGAAAACAAAAGCAACATGGAGTTTTTTTTGTCAGATGTATCACTCAAACAAAGCGAGCAGTAAAGACAAGTTGGTTGATGATTAGTTCCGGGGATAATGAATCTAGTACCCGGTTTGCTTTAAATGTTCAATTATATATATATATGGATACCAAAATGAGCACCACTCATTATAAAGGATTAAGATATAGATTAATCAATACTTGAATCATTTTTTCCCTGTACTTACCCAAAACCCAATGAGGTGGATATTATGTGGGGACTTGTCCACATACTTGGTAAACCGATTTTTTACAGGACAACCACCGGACGGCCTAATCATTGTGGCGTCCCTCCGGTCTAAGTTGGCTTGTAAACCCCATTTATATCCATTTATGAATATACCACTGGTTAACGTGGTAGATTTATAATGATATATTATATATACATACATAGATTAGATTAGATTATATTAGATGGTTCTGAGTTTAACTAAATAGTGGTACCATTGTACAATATATCTTTAGAACCCCATTAGTACTCTGCCACTGAACTTCTAAACGACCTTCGCCAATTTTGTGGCACCAGCTGCTCAAGGATCCGCTGCATGCAGCGCCACAAAAATTGCCATGATTGCAATGGTAACGACAGGTAACGACAGGTATGGTTAGTGTATGGATACTTTCAATGAAATGAAATTATATGAGAAAATCCATGTAACACTAACATCCACTACACTACAATAACGACAGGTATGGCCGAGAAGTTTAGAACACTCCCTTTGAAACGCTATTAAGACATTTTACAGGCGAAGTTGCACCACCTTCAGAAATGTCCATCCCAAGAGAATTGATTGCAAGGTGCTTCAAAGAAAAACATTTTCTTCAGGATATGACTTAGGACATGACTGCCATTGGTAGACTCATTGCAGACCCTTCGCGCGGATGAGGACCCCTGGCTCCCCGGGGTTGTCAGAGATGTCAGAGGGCGGGGGGTTAACAAAAATCATGCCTGGGGTCCAGATCGCCACTTGTCATCCATGGTTGCTGATATGCCAAAAAACCCATGGGATGCTTGGGTTGATGTGGTTTTTGATGTCATGAAAAAATGTCCGGGAGTGTTGGAGAAATTCAGCAGATGGCCGTGCCAAAAAAAAGAATTGAGTCTGGATGGTTAGCAGTAAATCAGGTGAAGGAACACGTAGATGGGTCTCTCTCTGGGGACACCTCAGAATTGCATTGGGAAACCATGACATTTCTCCAAAATCCCATGCCTTTCTTTTTCCCATTAAATTTTTATTTTGGGGCACAGGCATAGCCCATTTTCCGACAAGCCCAAATATCACATTGCAATGCTTCTTCTATATATATATATAAGCATATTTATTTATGATTATATATATATGCACATGATATTATGTATGTATGATACATATAGATCCTACATAGAATTCTTTGTTTTCACCATGATCTCTTGCTTGCATCCGATTTTGATGGTTATAACCCCCTTTTCTCAACAAGAAACGCTTCAGACGGAGCCCTTTGGAGCGGTGTGGATTGTGCCTGTGAGTCGCTGCCCCCAGTGGTTGAGCGGTGGACAGCTGAAGATGTGGGGAACTGACAACATGTTCGGTTACAGTAGGTAAACATATATTAACTCACTGGAAAAAGTGGGACATATCTCATAGCATATGTCTATACATATAAATTCTCTTAAATTCTTATCAAGCTAATGATTTTAAAGCAACTGAAAATTGTGACCACCGTGACGATACAAAAACACCAGTCGGAGGAGGACATCCTTCACCGAAATGGGCACATTTTCGCCATGTTTGATTGGTGTCGCAAGATATAAGGTATGTTTATTGATTAGGACCTGCGTTAGCCTGTTTATTGAAGGGTGTTTGTTAAATCCGGGAACGACTTGCTAAAATTCAGGAACCATTTGCAAGACCCAAGAGACAAAACTGCAATGTTTAATGGGAAATCAGTGAAAGCATTCATATGGTTTCATCGGAAATCAATGAAAGCAAGGAATCCCTTTCAACAATTAAGGGTGATTGTCCCATAAACTCCTGTAGACTTGCCAACACTGACTTGTCAATTTGGGATTAAAGGCGATCCCAGGGAACAACTAAGGAAACTCAAGGATCTTTCTGTTGGCACAAATGTTTCTTTCGACAATATTCGCAACATTGACATATTGTAGCCCCCATATTCAAGTCATTTTTTATTGTGAGGACGCACTTTTTTGGCAATGAATATTGGTAGCAAATGATGTTGATGTTCTTGAATAGACGTTGACGGCTTGACCTGGCTATAGGACAGCCAGGTTGCAAACTTTGTTTTGACTTGATTGACGCACTCCCATGATCTCCTGGAAGACGGATTGCTGGGCAAACAGCGATTTCTTTTAAAACCTAAATAAGACAGAGTTCGAGCTGGGACATTGAATGCTGACTGACGCTACTCATCTCCACTGATACCCGAAAGGAACTGCTCGAGGCACTTTCAAGCATGCCTTTGGCAAAGCCTTTGGCTGCGCTATACTTCGGGACGCTTCTTCATTGATTTGTGATTCAAGCGGGCCAGCCATCCTTGCTAGTGGGTGGCCGCACTGCCGCCAGTAGTGAACCTATCGCACCAGAGCATCGCAAGCAGATGCAGAAACCAATCGCCAATCCTTTGCAGAACTGACCGCAAGAGTAGCATGCTGAAAGTGCTCAGAGGCGCAAGAGACGAGTGAATGGATTCCATTTGCATTGGTTATTCACCTCTGGTCGAAAGTGATGGCTGAAGGCTATGGGGCCCGTTTGTAGAAACGGGGAAGGATAAGCCCATGAAGAAATATCAGAACATACGGTTCAGGATGATGATCTTTTCAATCAAGGACTCTTCCGTGTTCGCCATTTCTTTGGTCCACAGCTGTGTCTTCATTTTCTTTTTTCAGGTGATGTTCTTGATTGTCATTCTTATACAGTAGGTATTTTATGTGATTTTCCTGTTCTTATTTTGCAATTGGTTTCTACATTTTTGCAAGTAGCTGGGAGCGGCTTCAGGGCCATGTTGGTCACACAACAGACAAACAGGCTAACGCAGTTCCCATGTTATTGAGATATTCAGGGATATATTTCTCTACAATGTGGCAAATCCAATTTCATAAACCATCATAAACCATTCCCAAGCTATCACCAGCCTTATGGGTTGTATGTTTACCATCAGTCATGATAGATTTATGGCATTGGGTTGCCCACATTAGCGCGAGGTGCCCGGTGCCCTCTGAGGAAAATCCTCCGTGACAGGTGCGTAGCGTTCCAGGTTCATCCAGTTTTCCATCTGGAGAGCATGAGCGCCCCTTCTGTTTATTAGGCCTATCTACCAGGAAAGAGTTGTCTAAAGTCCAAAAAACATCTCTAAAATAGAATTGCGTGGCTTGATCTCACTTCCACACTGACCCCAAAACATGTGAGCCGAATTATTTCATGACCTATCTATTTTAATTGTTTGTTATTCTGGGTTGACTCCCAAAAGTCGCCTGCTGCTTCGAGGTTCAATGACCGCTCCACCATGGCGCTGTCAGACACAAGAGCCAGCCTCTCAGGGGGATCTCTGAGTTACAAGCCTGAAGTCTAAGTCGACCATGAATATGTATGTGGCCAGAATTCAAAATATGTATTTTTTATATGTAGATAATCTATACTATGTATGTACATGTATATGGTGTGCATGTATATAGTTTTGAATGATTGAATGATATCTATTAAATTGTATGATAACCGAAATAAGTCTGTATAAACTATTCTGTTATATACAGTTATAATATATATATATGGGCTGGAAAAATCCCAAAGTCATAGTAATGTGACAAACAGGAGTTGTTCGGAGGTGTCTCAACACTCTTGGATTGTCTTAAAATGGAATGCAGATATTGATCAACTATGAAACTACTCGGGGTTTTCCACACAGGTATTTCATGTTGTTGGTTCTATATATCTCCAGTAATTCCTCCTTATATCCCCATGTTTTCATATGGTTTAATATATATATATATACACACACACACATCCTCATTGATTCATCTGATATCCCCACTTTTCAAGGGGCAAGTCCTCACTTTTTGTCTCCGCTCAGGTGAGGTCCAAGAAGTATCAACTCATCGAGACGCATACCGATGGCTTGGTGGGTTCCTTCGAGGCACCATTCGAGCATCCTTGGTGATATCCGTTTGGGGGTTGCTATATATAAGAAAGGGTATAGTTTTATAGTAGGGTTGATAGCCGTGGGTGTCTTACCAGTCGCGCGGCTGTGCAGAACCTCGGGGGCTTGTCGCAACGCCATGAACAATCTTCTTTCTGGACCTGGTCTTACTATTTTCTGATTCTACCTGTGTTGCTTCCCGCGTCAGTGGTGGGATTTGTGGTTGGATCGGGATGATTGGCAGATGCGCCGTGGCAATCTCAAGGGGTTGTTTCCACGAGCGATGACGCCTGGTGTGGATGGATTTGAGATCCAGCTGACATGGGACGAATTTTCCAGGATGAGGAAACGGTTTGATTGACCCGCTACACTTTTTGCTATTCACTCTGCTTGTTACCGGCTTGCTTCCGCTGCCAGTGGCAAACTGCCAGTCCTGACTGAGATTGGTAGGTCGCACTTTTACGACTTGGCACTTGCAGTCCTGGAGTTGTTTTCCTGTTGGCTTGCATCACTTGCTTGTTGTTTGTTCGTTGTGGACCATCAGCAACCTTCAGTGGCAAAAGGCGAAAGGGGCTTTGCAACTGGCATTTTGGGATGCGGCAGGCTGCTTGGGAGATCGTGCTACGGAGCGCAAACCATGGCTTCGTCCCGGGCAATTTTTCCAATCTAATTTTTCCAACCCCGGGAGTAAAGATGTGCCTGCGACTTCTGGTGTAGCTCAGGGCGTAAAGCAAAGATGCAACGTTGCGCGGTGACCCCATGGCTGCCTTTTTTTATGCGCTGGGCATGCACCAAGTGTCAGGTGCTTGCAGAGACGGATTTGGGTGATCGGTCTCTGTTTTGATTTTGTTGGCCCAGTGTCTAGTAAACAACCCTAGCACACTGTATTGATCTTGTCCCTAACCATACACAGTCTGACTGACAGGTGGCACACCCGTTGCTAAAGTTAATGTTCCCGCGTTTAGCGGAGCTTCCTGGAAGTCAGGTGGAGCTACCTGTCTGGTAATGTCTGCTTCGCCGGCCCTTGGCCTTGGTTTAGCCAATTCGGTTCTGACCATCTGTGTCCGAGCCAATTGATGTGGAGACCTTCCGCAGCGTCGAATAAGGATTGATAGTTTATAATAGGTTTGTAAAGTATGTAAAATAGTGATGGCTTGTGTATATATTGTTCTTGGGAGTTGCAAAGAAAGTAAGTCACTTAGATCAGACGTGTTTATTCATATAAATAGTATCCAGATGGTGATGATGGTGGTGATGATTATGATGGACGATCATGATGGACGATCATGATCATGATCATGGTGATGATTATTATTATGATGACGATGACGATGATATATGGTGGTAAAATATGTTTTTGGATGATGTATGATGATGACTGGCATTACTCCACTTTTTCTGGTTGCATCCCAAGATATGCCAACGACAGTGATTTGATTTGTGATTTGGGTTTGTCTGACAATAAGGTACCCTCAAATTCCCATGTTTTATCATCATGTCCCCATTCTGATTGCTATTTCATTGGCACCCACAATTTTGTGACACATCATTGAATTTGTCGTTTCATTCTCCATCCCGTTTCCATTCCCGCTCCAGCTCAAAGGTACGTGTCTCCCTCAAAAAAATTGCTTTTCCCTAGATCTAGTATATTACATGGTTGGGATTGCATAGGTGTATATATATATATGATGAAGCTCAAAGCTACCTTGCTGGCTCACTGCCTCCTTGCTAGCTCAAAGCTCAAAGCTACCTTGCTGGCTCAGTGCCACGTAGCTGGCTCAGTGCCACGTAGCTGGCTCAATGCCACGTAGCTGGCTCAGCGCCTCGTAGCTGGCTCAGCGCCACGTAGCTGGCTCAATTTTTTTAGCGAAAAAAAAAAAGAAAAAAAAAACCTCGCAGAAATTGAGCCGGCTACATGCCCTTGAGCCGGCTCGCCAATGCGTCATGAACCCGGCCAATACATAGCTAGTATTCGTTTTGATGCTCTCACATTCGTCCGCCAGCTCAACGTGACGTAGCTGGCTCAATTTCTGCGAGTTTTTTTTTTTTCGCTAAAAAAATTGAGCCAGCTCGATGCCATTGAGCTAGCTCGATGCCCCTGAGCCAGCTACGTGGCATTGAGCGAGCTCGATGGTGCTGAGCCAGCTCGTTGCAGTTGAGCGAGCTCGCAGAAACTTCCCAATCTGTTAAATTGCATTAAATTGCCAGGTTCAATCCCCACTGATTACTTTAGTACTAGATATGGTACCTCTGAAAAAGCCCAAGGTGACTGTCAAAACATACCCCTGATGAAATTGAGCCAGCTACATGTTTTGAGCTAGATCGAAAAAATGGAAGATTGGGAATTCCAACATTACTAGTGCAACCGGCTGTTGCAGGCATCTACTGCCTCGATTTTATGGGGCGAACTCTTTACTGAGAAGGAGCACTGGCTGAGGGAAATCCTTTGCAAATGATCCTTATGGGTCGAAGGGTTGAAACATTCAGGCCACAGGATATCTTGCTCAGCCACTTGAAGACGTTGCTAGGATGCATGTGTTGTACTAGTGAAGTTTCAATGGCAGGGGCAACATTCAGCCAGCAGAACTGGCAAGGAAATTCCAAAAACATCAGGGTGTTCTGGGACTTCCAGTTGTCTTTATGCAGTGTCCAGTGATGATGATGCTTAAGTTCGTTTGGCAGGTTGAATGAGATATTTCGGCACAAAATGGTGCCCTTGTTCCAAGTTGGTTTACAAAAACGCATCTAATATCATCAAATTTTAAAAGGTATAGACGGTATGGATATATCACATCATGATATATCTACCATAAAACTTAGCTGTCTACGGGTCACCGCAGAGGATCGTTCCTTCTTCCGGCAGCACTTGGAGGAAGGGAACTTGTCCTTCGGGGCGAAGTCACTTGGAACAAACTTGGCAGAAGGTCTAGCTGGATCTTCATGGAATTTGATAGTTTTTCCATGGTTTTCCGATGGATTTTTACATTGTTTAACCTTTTTATGGTGATAATGTTACTGATATAATGTTACTAACCATGGCATAACGATATTTGATACTGGGATATAAAACTGACCAACGTTATATGGTACTGGGGGGTCGAGCCGCAGCCATATACTACCCTCTATCGGTATATTAGTTTGGCCACGCCTGGGTGATTTTGGGGTAAATGAGGGTAGAGGATGATTTGCAATACGGGTGGTCAAAATGGTGATTTCGCCAATCAACATGTTGTTCACCAGCAATAAATCAGGATGCTGACCCAGTGCATAATGCAGATGCTCGAGTATACAGGTGAAATACCAATAAACCGATAAACCATATTATAGCTGACACCCCTGTTGAGTTGGTTCAGATCCAATCTTGGGTGTGGATACAGTATACAAGAAAATTATTCGCATGTTTGTTGGTGAAAACGAATCTATTGTTGCGTTATTTGTCATTGCTAACAAAAACATATTGTATTTCCACATTCAATTGCATATCACCATGTTTCCCCCGAATGTTCCACATGTCAAACCACCGCAGACCCACCGAGAGAGAATCCCAGTATGCCAAGTTCTTATTATACTCTTGGGGATCGAGACCGACCACGCCATTGATACAACAATGTTAAACATGGTCGTTGACTGGTTCCCAACTGGGATGAACTTGCCACAATGATGGGCCCCGTAGCTTGGTGATACATGACATGACCTATCGTAGATCGATCAGATTTGGCTGCCAACTCCACGCGCTCCATCACCCTACATCCCAAGGGACACTTTTCAGTTGGAATATCGCATCGTTTGGAATCCCGAAGCCAAGAAGCAGATCAGCGAGCGTGGCGAGACACCGGGGGTCGCGGATTCCCTGGATTGGACGTACCAGTAGCTAGGCACTTTGATTTTGAAGCCTTTGAAGGGCCCGCAGTTGAGGCAACTTAGTGAGTCATCGAACATGGATTTTAAGTTGCTTTTGCCATTCGGAATTTGGTGGAATCAGATGTCTAAGTCGTATACTTGAGCTTTTTCAGTGGGAACTAGACCATGTTGCAGTTCCCAGATCGAGCACAACCAGCTGACTTAGCCCGGCAGGACCAAAGATGGAAAGCTGGTGATTTTGTTGCATGGTGCGGATGCCCAGCCAGCATCTGCTGGCATCGAAAAGTGCAAGTGGCATGAGGTGCGCCTTCTCTATAGGCGTGAATCCATCTCAATCTCATATAACATTCCAGTAAATCTGGTTGGTGGTTTGGAACATTTTTCATATATTTCATATATTTCCATATATTGCGAATGATAATCCCAACTGACTAATTAATATTTTTCAGAGGGGTAGGTTGAAACCACCAACCAGTGAATATTCGCACGGTCCGCTTGGGAAATTGGAGGTGCAATCTCCTCGGGTGCCGGAGCTTGGACGTCTTATACTCCCTTTACTAGAGATGGGCTTCTCCCAATGATTTTGGGAGAGGTGCTGGCTAACTCTAATAACAGACATTGGTTTCTCTGAAAATAGGCTACCCCAGAATTTTGATGGTTTATCATAATTTTCCTGATTAATACAGTATGTCTTTTTTAGCTGTGGGGAGTATACCTATTTTTTTAGACATACCCAAATGATCCATTTTTTTTCAAAGCTGCAGCATGAAAATGGATCTATAGGATTCTGCAAGGCACCAAACTGTTCTCCGTGGATGGACTGTGGAGAATAGGCTGCAGAATAGCTGGATCCTGATAACTGATAAATCCAGAAAGGGGCATATCCCAACATCGTCGATTCTGACAACAACTTTGTGATGTCCACAACGACAACCTGCTGCTGACTAGTGACCAAACGTATACCACTATACCTAGCAGTAAGTCACATATCTATATGCTATGATTCTTTTCTGAATGTTCATGCATGTTCTACATATTACGTATAGCAGCCCAAAAATAGATGCCGAAAAGCGGGACACTGTTCTGGAAAATGAATCAAATATCACGTATACATTCATATACATGCATATACAGATTAAAGTATAATATAGTAATACATACGTACATACGTACGTACGTACGTACATACATACATACGTACGTACGTACATACATACATACATACATACATACATACATATGTATATATATATATATACATATACATATATGTGGTTTCACACTTTCCAGCATCAACATTGGCTTGCCGTTGCTATCCCACACAAGAAAGTGAGGTTATGGCGGTCGCATCATCAACTCCTGGGGCTGGGTGAAGATGGTGAAATCCCTGTGGAAGCAGCACTTCACCGCAACTCGAAACGAAAAGGGCCGAAAAGGGCCAAAAATGGGATGATGAAAAGGGCTGAAAAAGGGCTGAAAAAGGGCTGAAAAAGGGCATTTATTGGGGATTTATTGGTTGTAGGATCTGATGATCTGATTTTTTTCATATTTTTTGGTGTTCAACAGAGTCTTCTGAAATGTGTGTTTTTGAAACAACCAACAGTTCTGTACATTTTGGCTTAGTGCAAAAAGGTGCCCATTTGTCTGGTCACACCGAGGGTCCAGTTGCCAGGGTGATTTGTCCTACGGCTGGAGCGTCCGTTGAAGCAACGATTTTACGTCACGATGTCACTGGAATGACGGTTACTAGGGGGAACTATACCACGATGGCCTCAGTTACACTTAGTTCATCCTACTTAGTCAGATCATTACAGTACTTCCATAAAAAATGGGGACTACGCCTACTTACCCCCTTCATATAGCATGATATATATTATCATGTCAATATATATATACACATACATATATATATATATATCATCTATTATAGCTAGATCCATATAGATCTATGTAGATCCATACAGATCCATATGGCCATAGCCAGATGTTCACATGGCATGCTTCACTCATCATGTGCTTGCCGAGGTGTGCTTGCTGGACATGCCGGGCTTCGGACGAAGCAGCGTGAACATGCCCCCTGTCATCAGCCCGCGTAGGAGCAATCCTCGAACAAAAGTGGGTATATAGCACTATGGTGATACAATGGTTATGGCCAGTTATGGCATGTTATGGCTATGACCCCCATCAAACATGGCAGTCATGGCAGATATGGCAGTTCCAATTTGGAGCATGATGAAGCTAATTCATCATCATAAAGCGTTGGGGTACCCGACTTTTGGACAACCCTTTTCGGGGGCTCTGTTTGTGGTTAATTGGTGGGTTCTAGCTCCTGCAAGTCATACACCATTTGAAGCTTCATTCCAGGGTGCGAGGCCCTGGCAGTTCAGATATGCATGGAAGGATTTGATGAAAATGCATTCCTGGATTCTTAATACAATTTAAATCTACAATGGATGCCATTGTAAATCAGATTTGAATATCAACAATGGAGTTACAGTATACCGATACCGGCAAAAAAATCAGTGTCAGGTTTTGCTGAACAAAACCCCACAACTCCCTGGAAAGCGCTGGCTGATTTTCGCCTATTTTTTGACACCTGGCCGGCTGATGATGAATCACTGGATCTGCGGTATGAATTCAAACACACCCATTTTCCCTATAACTATATGCCATGACAGGTCCATTTGGTTGCTAATAAATCATATCCCCAGGCTTTTACTACCGTGCCCCATGTCTCTCCAGACTCTGATAGGTCCTGGAATACGCCCCTGCAGGAATGGTATCTTGATTGCATTCTCTGCGGCTGTTCTTCACAGATCAAATTTCTCAGTTGAAATGCAGTAAACCCAACAAACTCAATCGAAGGCCCCGCCCAATGATAGGTGATTTAATAGACATAGCTAGGCTAACGAGTGGACTTCTGATGGATATGTCATGATATGTCTATATAGTTTGATGGCGGTATAAACCAACTTAAAACTGGTGGTCCTTTTCAAAACCTATCTGGTTGGTGGTTTGGAACATTTTTTTTATTTTTCAATATACTGGGAATCATCATCCCAACTGACTAATATTTTTCAGAGGGGTTGAAACCACCAACCAGCTATGCTGAAATGACGGTTTTATGATTTCGGGAACCCAAAAACAAGCCGTATGGCCAGTTCCTGCTGGCAGGCTGCACATGGACGCGGTGATTTTGGCCAAGTTCATCAACGGAATGAACTTTCGCAAGTCGGTGAGGCCGTTGTAATTTTAAACGGCCGTTTTCGGGCGCCGAACGGGCGTGGGTTGATGATGTTGGTCTTCCCGAAGCAGGTTGGTACTGTGATGTACTGTGACAATGGTCCCATTGATGAAACATATACCATCTGGTGAAATGACTAACATAAATAGCCATGGAAAGATCCACCATGCTATTAATAGGTAAACCATCTATTTCAACCAGATGGTACCAAACATTACCAACCTGGTCCCTCTATGTTCATTTTCTCCTCAACAGGACAGGAGGGATCAGGTCGAGCTACTTTCGAGTGTCAATCATGCGTCCAGCCTGGCTTCTTCAGCCCAGATCAAAAAATCCCTATCAAACAACCTGCCAGAAATCCTTGTTGAGTGACACCTTTATCATTCTTTATCTATCCCCATTTCTTGGAGTGGATTTATGAGGGGGGATAATATATATTTTGCTGTCAATCACCTCATCATCCACCACTTGGAGGATCACCCTTTCTTAGTAACTGCTTCGCAAGTGCACGCATAGTTACTGGTAACATCTGAGAACCCGGTTAAACAAGGGATTGGAATGGATGAACCCAGTTTTCAGGAACTTCTTTATGAATATTAATCCATGAGCAGTCAGAGATATGAATCTGCTCACCAACTGAAATGATCCCACAAAAACATCGCTGGCATAGCTCTGCTGCTAGTCGCGCGCCGCCAGTTTCATTGCCTACCGCGAGAGTTGCGCCAGCGTCATGAAACTCTGCACGAGTTCGCCCCACCTGGTGGGAACCAGGCCGGCATGTTTTTCCAACAGGGTGCTATGGTATAGATGGCCCCTTAATTGAGTGTTTTGCTAAACTTACTAAACCATGAAACCATATTTTTTCACCATCCAAAAATCATATTAAGTGGTTATAGATTGGTTATAGTGGATAGTTGGATATTGATAAAACTATCCACTATAACCACTATATGATTCTTGATCATTGATAGTTGATGGTTTTCCAAAAAGATCCATAGCTTCCATAGCTGTGTTTTTCATCACCGGTGTCAATCTGTAAGATCTATCGAGGCAGATCTTGGTGGATCCCGTCTTCACCCTGGACGACATCTTCCCCATTGAAGCGCCCTATGGCGCCCAGATGGACTGGTTCCAGGAAAAGCCAAGAGCCTCGATGGGATGTGATGGGAACATAGCTGGATAGATGGATAGATGGATAGATGGATAACCGCCAATACAATTTTTTTAATTTGATCTAAAAGTGTCCATAAGTTAAAGATATTGGTGAGCCGCTGGTGTTCTGAACATGGGATGCAATCCCAATGTATAGTACTATATATATAATTATATATATATAGTACTTTAATGCGGAAAATAGGCGGAAGATGATGGTCAATCAGTGAATTTGGGGAAATCATGTCTCCATGTCATGGGGATTTTGGAAAGTGGAGAACATGTTTACCCTCTTGTAATTTAAATTAATTTAACATAGCTGACATAGCTATTGAAAATACCCCATTTATAGTTGATTTACCTATTAAAGATGGTGATTTTCAATTTTCCAGTTCGCTATGTTAGTTTAGCACAGGGTAGCCAAATGGTATTTGAAGGCACAGCCTAGTCATTTATCCAAGTAGTGGACATCAAAGACTAAGCGTTACCCAGCCAGCATAGCAGCTAACTAGGTTATAACACGTTGGAACTGCAATTCTAAGTGCACTAACCCTACTTAGCCCATTACCGGGGTTGCAACCTACTTCAGTGGCAACTACCAGATGCTTCCAATTTGAGGTATGCAAGCTGTTGAGATGGATCGGATGATTTCGTTCCTTGGCACCCGGTGAGGCTGATTCCTGAGATGTGAATCTACCAAATGTCATCCTAAGTCTGGGATGCTGAATGATTTCAATGTGACATGTGATGCATACCCAAGTGAGCAGAGGCCAAAACCCCCAGGATTGGCAGTTTATTTCCATTTCATGAATTGGGGATGCGTCTATGCCTCCAGATGACTCGCTATCTCCATTTACCATCCCTCCCGGTTGGATCAAAAACCATTGCAATACCATGGCAAAAGCAAATTATTCTTGGTTAAGTCATCATCAAATCCCTTTCTGTCGGAGTTGTCACTCCTGTTTTGCGAGCCAAATCCGAAATCCAGTTCGATTTGCCCAGTATTATTTAACCACAATTGTTGTGACGAAGGGCTGTCGAAGACCCCAATAGCAGTGGCGATTCCTGAGCATGAGCATTATAACTTATCATTTCCATGAACTACAGTTATATCATATACCCTCTGGTAATCAAACATGGCAATGGAAAATCCCCTACTGTGGAGGTTTCTAGCTAGGAAAATCAAGAATGGAAGATTTTCCAGCCACGCTTGATGACGCCGGAGGCTATGTATATTTAAGCATCATTAAACATCCATAAACCATGCTTAATAATATTTAAATCATATAACCTAGTAAAGCAACTGATGGTCAGTCGCCTGGAGGCGAAAATCCATGAACCTTTGGGTCAGCTTCACAGGACGACCCGGTCCGGATTGAAGAGCAAGATTTGGTGAAGTTTAATGATATTTAAAGGTGATTTTCGCATATATATATATGTATATTATGTTATGTATATATATATACATATTATGTTCACTAACATTATTTTATCCAACTAACGTTTGCCCTTTGGCAAGCAAATATGGCTCGAGAACCTTTCTTTCTGAATGGAACTCTCTTGATTTCATGATTTGGATTTGGATATATATATATAGATTGGGAATTTTCCGTTGCCTGGTTAGATTAAAAGATAAAAAGCTGCGATTCGCGTCTACAGTTTCAACACACTCCCCAAACATGTTATGGGCCTGGCTGACTGAGAATGGTTTCTGTTTTTTTTCGGGATTTCCATGGTGGATTTCCATCTCCAAACCCATCATGGCTCTGAATTCTCATAATTCGTCAGACATCTTGGAGCATGTTGGAGCGTGCCGTATTGCATCTATGAATCTATGTGGTGTTTACGGTGGCCTCCCAACGGACCTCCCAAGATGTGGGCACTGGTTTGTAGCACAGAATCGCAGGGAATCGGGTTTTGGGAGTTCACCCATGTTGACAAACGCCATGTCTTCCTGGGAATCAAACGCTGATGTTCTAGCTCCGTCGCAAAAAAAATCCCACTAAATCCCATTCAGCATCCCATTAAATCACCATTAAACCACCATTAAATCCTATAACTATAACTATTCTGTTGTGTAAATCTCCATCTCGTCCATCAAAGACACATTTTTTTTGCAAAGAGATCTGGCCATGACCTGCAGGCGCCCCTGGTTGCACCAGCGCGCTGGAAGCCTTCAAGGTAGCGGTGGAAGTTGGTGATTCAACTAGCAAACACTGGTGACTTAACTGACTTAAGCATAAACAAATGTGACTTAATCAACAGAAATGGTGATGGAACCAAAGAAAAAAAATGGGCTTTAACTCTTGAAGCAGCCAACATTTGTGATTTAACTAACCCACATTTTCAAAAATGGAATTTATCTTCAAAACAGAAATGGTGAGCTGGCCAGCAAAAATGTGGATTCAACAAACAACACTGGGATCATTTTGTTCAAGGCCTGTGCTTTACTTTTGCATACCTGAGAAGATTAGAAAGCCAATTGATGGAAACTGTTAAGCAGCAGGTGATTGGATGAAGGGAAGCCTTGTGAAGCCTCTGTACACCAATACACAACCCAACCATCCTCCATGGAAGAGGTGAGAAGATCTGTCTCGGACCTTCTAATTCTTGAGTGCTCACGCCCTGGACACCAGTGTCCAAATTTTGCAAATCAATTGGAACAAGACAGGCTTCATTTGGCTTTCCATCCTGTGGGGAATTGGGGTTTCCCACTTCTCAGGGTTAACACATGCGACATCTGAAAGCTACACCTGAAATACTTGCTTTCTTTCCCAGACTTGATCCCCAAACTCAGTTGTATCAGTTGTCTTGGAAACAACAACGGGGATATATCATGATATATCCCAAGATAACTGACATAGATGGCGGTTCCTGGATCACCAACTGATCACTGCCTCAGTTGGTGATCAATGCGCGACCTCATCTGGGCATGCGGATCAGTATCACTCACCTTAGCAAGGACCTGCGGCTTCAGCTGGAGCACCAGATATCACCAGATCGATCGGTTGTTTTCTCAGTTTTCACCTCAACATCCCATGATTTATGAATGGTTTATATATGTGTATATCATGTTTCCCATTGAAGTGCTGAAAAATCTGTAGTTCTAGACGCATGTTCGTTGAAATTCCGATGATATCCCCATAGTATCGTTGTTTGAAGAGTTTGATACCGGCTTCGAACGGTCCAACAGAGTCGCTTCATTTCATTTTTTTGATTGCCACACCTCCATTTTGCTGTTTAACATACTATAATAATCTATAATTAATATACATAATAATAATATATACTATACATATATATATATATATACTATCTATATATATATATATACTATATATATATAATCTATATAGTTTTTTCGTTAAATATCTCCGTAACGTTGTTGATGAACTCTCCAAGCCTGCTGCTGAAATCTCCATTGGATCACCATTCAAACTCACCAGCGGTTCACATCCCATGGAACCAGCATGTTTTCTTGGAGAACTCCCATGAAATCACCATGAAATCATATGAAATCACCATTTTTGCTTGGTGAAATCAGTGAAAAATCACTGATATTCCTACTAAAAATCACCATTCTTGCTTGCTGAAATCAGTGAAAAATCACTGATATTCCCATGAAAAATCACCATGTTTATTGATTAAATCCCATGGAAAGCAGTCGAAAATGTCCTCCATCGTGCTGCGAGGAGTTCATTTGCGAAGCCCGCGCAGGAGCCAAGGTCTCCACCGAGCTGTAGCTTGGCGAACGTGGAAAACATTGGGGGGAATGGTTTTATGATCAACATACCCTCTGGTAATTTAACATAGCTATTGAAAATGACCATTTATAGTGGATTTTCCCATTAAACATGGCGATTCTCCATAGTTATGTTAGTTTACTAGAGGGTAGCGAACGGGAAAATCACCATCGTTAATAGGTATATCAACTAGAAAGGCTAAGGTGCCATGTTCAATGGCTATGTAACAAATTACCACAGGCTATTCAGATTCTAAAAAACATGGGATTTAGCCAACAAATTTGGGGACTTCACATGACTTAACCGGGACATACCTGGGAAACCTGCGGATGTAACCATGAACATCATCATTTGTCTGGCTATCTCAAAATGTCCGAACTAGTCAGGTGAGTGAATAACTGTTCCAGATATTTGGTAGGTCGTGTGTCATGATCATGGAACATGATCTTGAAATGATAGATTCGATATCCATATAGATATCATATGATCATAGTATGATCGTATGGTTGATCATCACTCAACTGGAGATTTGATCGTTGATTCTCGTTTTCCCCAGATATTTGTGTGTTTACCCAACGATGATGGGGTAAATCAGCTTGATATGATTGGGGTGTGTCTGAAAATAGGCTAGAAATGGATAGACATGGCCCTTTGTAGTGGCGAACATGATGATAAACCGCTGGACTTTGCGTACACCATTTTCAGAGAAACCCATAACTTATCGTATTTACATGTATTGAATGATGATTGAACATGATTGAATAAGTTTAACTAAGGCCCGTGAAATTGAATATGACAAATTATCACTTGGTATTGACATGATTTCGAGTCGAGGCATTTGGCAGGTCAAACAAATCAAGATCGTTGAACGGGAATACTGGCCATAAACAATTCAGATATGACGGGATATATACAATTGATATCAATAGAGATGGATAAATACAGCAATCCAGACAGGGGGATTCAGCCCTTTGGATCCAAAAACAAGCAGTTTTGCAGATTTGTCAGCAACCTTGTGGATGGGGAAGCAACGAAACCAGAGATCAAAAGGTAGCATCGTTTATACAGAGAATAGATGTGTGATTCCCCCAAACTGGAAATGAACAAGAGCAAGACATATTGTAGCAGGTCTATAAGTTATAAGCAATCACCACGGAGATAGAACAACTCAAGAAATGGACACGGTGCAAGCTACGGAAAAGAGTTCATGTCTTGCAAAGAAACACAACCATGTTTCCTCTGGAACTATGTGCATACTTTTGATGCATAGACCATGGGTCTTTGAAACTCCTGCTAGGTGGTGCCTGCCCCAGTCATAAGTTGGTTTATAAACCCAATTAAGTATAGACATATTGATTATGGATGACTATGGTCATATTAGTTATAACTTAGCTAACTATGGCACCACCTGGTAGCAACGGTTTCTGAAGCATCACTTGGTCGCAACCTTTCTGGTGCTTTTCGTAGTCACCTCTTCCTGCAATGAGGCTCTTCATCTGTAAGTGACCTGGTGCGGGGTGAGGATGTTGGCGGCTGGAAGAACGAAGCCCTCGAAGATCAGTCACCTATTGAACATGGGAGGTTGACAAACCCTTCCCATGTTTTATTTTTTCTTCCTGGTAGGGCCATTGTACCGTGCGTCAATCCAGCTTCAAAGACGCAATCCCGCCATTTCGCCTTCAACAGGGAAGACCTTAGACATAAAGAACAGAAAGGATGCCGAGTAGAGAAGTCTGGGCAAGAGATGCGGATGGGTCAAAACCTATGTTGTATCAATATGTATCATCTTGGGGCGGATGGATATCATTGTTTATCCAACACTGCACACTGCACACCAGAGTATCATATTTGGATCATTTTGGATTTATAGCCGATACCCAGGGAGCCAGAAAGCAATGCAGATAAGCAATTTCCCCCAACTCAGAATCTTTCCGTTCGGAACGAGATGGAAGAGCCAGAAATCGATGCACATCCCTCGCAGCCCAGCCCATAGCTCCACATCGTTATGAACCGTTCGAGTCAGATCTTCCATTTCGATTCGTTTATTGATAGTGTTCCGAATGAGGTTTTCGAAACTTGAATATTCTTCAGTTTTATATGCTATGCTTAAAGGCAATTCAGCCGGGTTGCTAAAGCTACACGTTGGCATTCCTCAAGTAGAGCGCTCAGGCATGCATGCTACTGCAGCCTTTTCCAACAACTGTCTTTTAGAGGGATATGGGATAGACCAAAGCCAATTCGACCTGAGAAATCCTTGTGGATCTTCCAATGATTACAGGGCAGAAATCGGTTACATCCTTTCACTGGAAGCCAGTACTCTGAAGTCGTCTATTTGGATGTATTTTGGTCCCTTCAAGTGCAACGTTGGCTTTTGTCGGGCCCTGTTTTGGCTCCTTGGCCAGGTACATTAAGGACCGCTTTTCACTCTATTTGGCTGAAATTGAGAAGGCCGGCCCGGTGGTATCTTACTGGGTTAGCAGCACGGCCAGGATTTGGGGTTGTCAGCCTATGAATGGGGTAGCGCCCGAGGCCTAAAACCATGGTATTTACCATGGTATTTACCATAATTATTTGATTATACCTTTAATATCCTTTAATAATTATCATCATCAAATCACCATAATTGGAGAACCATAATTATTAATACTTGGATGTTTGTCTCTGTTGATTCTTCCTTCCTGAACCCTCGGTCATCGACATCTTGACGTGGGCACTGTGTTTTCAGTGACATCTGCATGAGTGTTTCTTCAAAGTTCAAGCAACTATTCTCTTTGTTTCCCAATTGGAACGCTATGATCAACATTCTAAGGGGGTGGGAATGTTGATTCTTCATGTAGAATTGAAGTACCGGTTCCCTTCTTCTACTGTTTGGAACACTAGTAACTATGAACATTATTGCTCTGAGGGGTTTGGGAATTTGATTCTTCATGAAGAATTGAAGTAAATTCTTCATGGAGAATTGAAGTAACGGATCCATTCTTCTACCATTTGGAACACCTGTATTAACTTTATACCCATTATTGTTTTGAAGGGTGAGAATTTCGATTCTTCAAAAAGAAATGAAGTAACGGTTCCCTTCTACCATTAGTATTAACATTAATTATTCTTCCGAGGGGGTGGGAAGTTTGATTCTTCTCGAAGAATTTCAGTAGCGGTACCCTGCTTCTCCTCGCTGGTTGGTTGGTCAATATGGCTGGTTGGTTGAGAATGGGGAGAGCTGCGACAACCCCAGCGCCCTCCGTGAATTTCCGCTAGTGTTGATTACACTGCTGGTTTATTTCAGATTGATTATTGATGTACTATCCAGTGGTTTAGGGTGAGCCAAGGAGCTATGGGTATCGATATATAGAATTATATATATATTAAATTATATTCCTTTTTAAATGGGGAGCCAAGGAGCTACTAAGAATTCCCAACCAGATTAAGATCCTGCCGCAGTTGATGAGTCCGCAACACGCTGTTTTTTTTTTTACAGCCCCAAGATTGGGAACTAAGCAACCACGTCAGACTGCGGAGGTACGAGCTTGAATTTGTAAACAATCAACATACTGGACCTGATATGTTGACCATATAAGACCTATAGGTGCCATGGTCGAGTTGGATAATTATATACCCGTGCTGGGGGATAGTCATCAATCCATTCATAGGGGTTCATATACCCATGAGAAGGAATTCCTGATAATGGTGAGATGACCCATATGGTTGTGTCTCCAAATGCAATACCGTTCAAACCTTCAGTTTTTAGCTATGCCATGTGCCTGCATGCCTCTTTTGGAGCACAATTGTCGTAGGGAGCATCTTGCAACCGCGAATGTATGTACACCGTCAATGTGTATATATAATTATATATATTTATATATATATACACACAGTATACATATTTATATGATATATAATACATACATGCTCATATATAATATTTCATTGTGTACAAGTGATTGGGCAACAAACTCACCGCGTTTATTTTGCAAAACACTTCCTGTATATTACGTGTTTGTCCACACTAAGTTGACAAGATCACAAGATGTACTTAGACTAGATAACATCCCATTCCAATGCTTTAAACTATGACATTTGTGGATCATGAATTAACTCGTCATTATAACTGAGTTTCTTGCTGATCACCAGCATCTCTTGCTCATCCGGACTTCCAGAGGTGCCCAAGGAGATTCCGCCCTGGGCGCTGGATGCGTCTCGCCACAGTTTTTGTTGGGAAAGTGGTCAGAAGGTGGAATTTCACTAGATTTAGTGGCGGTGAATGGTTTGCGAGGCCAAGATTTTTCTCTTTGCAATGTTCAATCATCTTCAATCAGTAAAATAGGGACCTGAAATTGACAAAATATAATTGGTGCGGGGTCCATTTGGTAAAGGATGGGACCAGAGATTGTGGTCATTGTCAGTGTGGTACTACATTTCTCGGTCCTCAATGGTTACTACCCAACTTAACTCATCCAGTCGCGTGGGTTGCATGAAAATCCCGCCCAGTGTGAGGGGTATCAATATCAGGAGGAAGGGATTACTTGTGGCCCATCCTTGGCTCAACTGTAAAGCCAATTACTGTTCTGTTGTGGATAAATCGTGGGAAAAACATGTTCTTGGGTACATCCGGGGACCATTATATATTAATTATAGTGCCTATGCATTATCACTGATATTTCACTGGGAAAAAATGTGGGTTTGTCGTCTGAAATACCCGTAGATGCACCGGTGAAATTTATCATGTGCCCAGAGGTTCAAACAGCGGCCATAGCCCTTTTTTGGACACACCCAAATGATATAAGGTGGCCCCCCCCTATAGACTATAGTAAACCCATGTTAACTCCCAGAAGATAAAAAACAAATGCAATTCCACTAAACAAATCGTGATAATCTGAAGCTCTGCTATCTGATTTTGGAATCATTGGAAGTTCTTTTTGTTCGCCAAATTAACTCAGGTGGTCTCCACCAATGCCTCAACGGCCATTGGCTCCAAAGCCGTGCCCAGCGTCTCGGTAGAATGTAGCGACACCTGGAAGTATGGGGGACATGCTATCTATGATAATTATTCTGAAAAGATATATATATATACATATAGTTCTTAAATCATTTGTAAATTATGTGTGTATATAATGGTATATATATATATATAGATTTGCAGTGTACATACTAAGTTACAGTGACTTATTTGGAGTTTGACGCATTTTGACCAAGAACAGATGTGGTGATTGGACCTGATTTTGCTGATTTCCATGCGGGGATTTGACCAACACACGTGGGCGACATGTCGCTCCACTGCTGCCGATTTCAAGTGATTCCCAAGTGTTTGAACCACACTGACCCAAGGTCAAGCCCCCAAAAGGTGTTCATGAAGACTAATAACTGGTTGGTGGTTTCAAACATTTTTTTTTAAATTGTCCATAATATATGGGATAATCCTGCCCATTGACGAACTCATATTTTTCAGAGGGGTTGAAACCACCAACCGCTTGGTTTCCACCCGCTCGGTCTATGTGGAAAGATTTCCAGCAGTGTATTTCTGCACCCAATGACTTGGCCTGTCGCCAGTAAAATCATCGTTTCTTCCTGGTTAGAACATATGTTTTTGTTGATGCTTGAATTATCTTGAATTCATGTTTTGGTAAATGTCCAAATCCATATTTTTGGTCTATTTTTTGGTATAGATTCTAACATGTTCTGTTGATTTTTCAGAACACACAATGAATGTGAACCTGACCTGCCAGGCATCGATTCTCCGGCAGGGAGAGTGGCTCCGTCCGCAGTGGTTGTTTTGCTGGTTAGTGGCACGGCCTGTGTAAGCCCCACAAAGATACCCTCTGGTAAACTAACATAACTATGGAAAATCACTATTTTTAATGGGTAAATCCACTATAAATGGCCATGTTCAATAGCTATGTAACAAATTACCAGAGGGTAGATGTCACTGCTATTTCGCTGCTGTTTCCCATTGTTTCCCCTGGTCCATTTCCGCATCATTATCCTTTGACATGCTCAAATCCCAGCGTAGGGCTAGCGGCTAGCGTTTTTGACAACAACCCCTGAAAGCATAAAGCCCTAAAACCTGCAACCCTGAAGCCCAAAACTACTTAAAACCATATATCCTGAAAACCTAAAGTTAAAATCATAGTGTATGGCTGCGTTTTCGATCCTCTGGTGACGAGTATATAGGGGTATATGATGAGCATGAGCATGGGCGAACGTGGTGTTTAGAGGGTACTTGTTTAGTGCTTGTGCAACTATTCTACCATGATGTTTCCACTATTCCGCCACTATAAAGAGTAGATAAGAGTAATTGTTATCAATATGTCCACTATTTTACGATTATTTTCGCTGTTTTCCAGTATTTTCCGCCACGATTTTTACCACTCATTAGTTTGGTACCACTTTTTCTGCATGTCCGAGGCACGGAATTTCGATGCACTGGAGACGGTGCAAGAGGCAGCAGAGGTGCCCGGGGTGAAGCGAAATCAGTTCGTGGGAAAGATGTGGGCGAACTTTGACCACTCCAAAATTGGTGGATTTCTGTGGATTTCTAGTGCAAAACGGTGGATTTATGATGATTTTATGATGATTCTATATGGATTTCTGTGGATTTAAAATGCTTTAAGACAACTGATTGAGGCCGGGTAAACGCAATTTTTCTTTGAGGATTTCCCCCCCCAGCAGCTTGATCACGGTAGGATCATCCATTGGGGGGATGGTGGGGGATACGTTAAATAGGTTGATTATGGTTAGTTGGTGGGTTCAATGGTTCATTTTTTTTTGATGGAAATTGATGGAAATTGATGGGATGAGGATGATGATGATGATGATGATGATGCACTGGTTAACTATGAGCGTTTTGGGATGGACGCCTCAACCACCAACTCCAACATAACTATGGAAAATGGCCTGGTTGTAGAGGAACTGCTGTTAAACATGGTGATTTTCCATTATATATATAATAGCTATGTTAGATTACCAGGGTCTCGTTTTGAGGATCCCTTCATTCTTCTATGATCATGACCCCAATGTGTACATGGATAGGATTCTGAAACCATCAAGCAAACCACACATCTGCACTTCCAAACTATTCCACAAGTGAATCATGATATTTGGGGAAGTCAATTTTCCAATGAATTTTGAAACTCAAGTACCAAATTACCAATATCATATATATATATATTACATGGATTGTAACCCATATCACCAGATACTCCCAGGTACCCTCTGGTAATTTAACATATGGAAAATCATCATTTTCAATGGGAAAATCAACTATAAATGGTAATTTTCAATAGCTTTTTGTATGTTTACCAGAGGGTAACCTCAAAAACCCAACGAATTTTGAAGCTTTCGCCGAAATTTCCCGGTGCCTCCCAGGTGCTCTCCCGCCATACCACTGCTGAGAACCTTTTCCCCCGCCGCCAAGCGGCGGGAGTCGGGCCTGAAGGAGATCCCTGAGGCGCAAAACGGCAGGGGGATGATCTGGGATAAACATATATACATATATACATATATATATTTATATAGTAATAATTAATCAATTCATAATAGATATATAATTAATTATATATTATATGTATAATATCTATCCCGATTTCTTTAGCTCTATCTATGTCTATATCTAATTATATTCCATATCAATATCGTGTATATATATATTAATGTATAGGTATACACTGGTGTATGTTGCAGAAACAATATGTTGGAGGATACCCAGTCAACTATTGGGATGATGGGATCCACCACTGCTGAGTAGTACTAGCGGGTTACTAGCCTTACTTGCCATACCATGCATCATTTGGTAACCATACAACCAGGAAAAAAAAAGCATTGGGTTGTCAGGATGGTGGAGGTTTCCATACACTTTAGCTACAAACTACACGCCAATGCATCATAATCTACTCACTGCTGGTAGTTGAGGCATATGAATTGAATCCGTTTACGATAATTTTGGGTATATTGTTGATATCCATCATAATTTGCTTGATATCCATCACAGTCTGCTTATGAATGACGAGGGTTACAAACAAAAAACCGATCTGTGAGATGTTTATTTGCCACGGATGATTCGTAGCACCGATAAATCCGATAAGCTTTGACACCAATGGGGAAGTGAAGTTCCCATGCATCCATGCTAAGAAGGAACTCTGAGGACCTATATAGGCCCTAGCTAGATCTGGAAGGCAAGGACGGATCCAATTTGGCTAATGCAGTAGTTGGGATGCGAGGAAAAGAATAAACATTGGCTCTGGACGCAATAAATCATTCAAAATTATCGTGTTGCTATTCGTTTGTGCATCAGTTCTCCTAATTTAGGGCGGAAACGAAAGAACTGTTTGAAGCACCAAATCGGCCTGCACCTCAAAGTCACCAAAGTTCCTTTTCTGTACCAAGATGGAGGTTTCCTAAATAGGGGTACCCCAAATCATCCATTTTTTCATGGATTTTCCCTTGAAAACCATCCAGCTATTGGGGTATCCCCCAATTATATACTGTAATGGAAAAGCCCAAGAACAAAGCCATGGATTTTGACACCATGCCCTGGCATTGTCGCTGCCAGCAAACTTTAGACATTTGAGTCTACTGAACATATCAAGTCAGAGCAAATACCCTCCAGCAATCAAACGTGGCAGTGGAAATTCTCTCATCTATAGTTGATTTTCCCAGCAAAGCCTCCATTCGTAGAGGATTTCCACTTGCTACGTTTCATTACCAAAGGGTAATAAAATCATTCTCAAACTAAAAATCAACACAGCTTGGAAATCAGCATTCGTGGTGATATAATATACCCTCTGGTTATTTAACATAGCCATGGAAAATGGCCCATAGAAATAGATGGTTTACCTATTACTGTAATAGCATGGTGATTTTCCATGGTTATGTTAGTCATAACCAGATGGTACCACCCTCATTGACCCATGCTTTCCGGTAACGTCAGGAGCCGATCCGGGAACGCTTCGTTGCGCCCAAGCGGAACTTGCCAAAGTTGGCGTCTCTCGGTGATTCACCATGGACCCACCATGGACCCGTGGAATCACCGTGGAAACCCCTGGAATCAACAGCTGCCAATATGACACCAAGGCTAATATGGAGATATGACACCAATATGGGTAGTATGAATGGGGATATGACACCAATCTGACTGTCTGACGAAGTTTTACAGAAATCACGAAAATATCTCACAGATACATACAGTAATACTTTCTGCGGATGAAAATCAACCAATCGGTTGGATCCGAGCTGAGACTTTCTGTAGAACTGTGCTAATATCTGTGCATGATCAATTGACCAGAACTGCTGAATTTGTTGTGATGTTATGTAAAGGTGATTGCAAAGTCCGTTGTAGTGCTGATAAATGTTGATCATATAAATGGCTATGGATCAATACCTATAGATACCATTTTTAGTGGGATGAACATCCATTTACCAGCTATTTTGATGTTCACCAGGGGTACAAGGTTTTGACACACTGCCAAATAAGTTCAAATCTCCTGGTTTGTTCCAAAAAAAATATGTTTATGCAGAAAAAATCTTGAATAATCAGCTCAAAGTTCGTGAAAAACCCAGGGCTGACATGGCGTGGCAGGTGTACACATGGTGAGGCAACAACCTAATCCTCTGCAACAAAATCGCCATTTGGATGGTATACCATGGTATATGGTATACTTTTCAGACCCAAGCATCACATTGTTGCTGGTATATCCTATCATTCCATAATATCACCATAAAATGGTTGGTTTATGTTGGGTTTAGCCTGTGGCAAATAAACATAGACCCTGAAAATGACCAATTTTGAATGGAAACTAATCTTCCAACCCCTATCTGCCAGGGTCTATGTTAATTTACTGGAGGGTAATGTTTATATCCGATTCTTGTTGACTTTACGAAGCTCGATTTCGCGAGCCTGGCTAAAGCCAACTTGACCAACAAGAACCCCCAGGAAGGGAAGGGTACAAGACAGGAATCATCAGGAGTATGGTTTCCTATATATATAATATTATTTAATATATGTATGACTTAATAAATCTTAATGCTATCATGTTATACTATTTATATACACATGTTATCATATCCAAAAGTATATATATACACCCTCTGGCGCCATAGAAAATCACAATTTTAATAGGTAAACCATCTATAAATGGGCCATTTCCCATGGCTATGTTAAATAACCAGAGGGTATATAGTTTGATAATATACATCATTTGTGTCATGGAAACTTTCCCCAGTGCCCACGGGGCCACGTCCCACCCTGAATTCCATTTTGCCCAGGGGCCTGGTTCCGAATGTCTCGGGCGATCAGCCCGGCTCTTGGGTGGGGTCGAACTTTGATTCGTAGGTTCAGAACGTTGCATTTTCAACATGAATTGATGAAAATTGATGATCATTGATGATGATTGATGATAATTGATGATGATTATATAATGATGATATTTCAATAATGGTTGATGGTTATATATAATGATAATTGATTGATGATATTTGATGACTATAATTGAGTGTTCAAAACCCCTGTTGGTTGATTCTGATGATTAGTTTGGGGGTTGTACTGATATATTGGAGACTGTCACAATCTTGTTGCTCAAAAAGTGGGAGGTACGCCCAAATCCACCACTTTATACAACCACACTTGCTTGATAGGCGGGAAAAAAACGGACAGCATTTATTGCTTGAAACGTGTTTTTGGCAGTGGCATTGTGGTATTACGCGGATCACTGACAGTATTCAAACGGATAGAAGCCCATACGGTCTTCTCAAAAGAGTCTTAAACAGTGGCAACATGGGAAATTCCATTTGGACGTGTCTGAACGTTGGGTATACTTCGGAAAATGATGGTGGGTTCCCACTCAGACAAATCAAGTTCAGCGATATTCAAATCCTACTTGTTTTTTGAACGCTTGTGGGTTGCAAACTAAATCCCATTTGTTTAATGATATATGATATTATATGATAAACTATTCAGGATAAAAGTTTTCACCCAAGACATGAAGAAGTACCCAGCCAAAACAGGAATCACGATTGGGTTCCCAAGAGTCATGCAGAATCATGGCTCCTTAGCCACTGGTTTCCAGAAAAGGGATATGTTTTGCTAGTTCTATGCCCATATGTGCCATGGTCAAAACAAGAGATTGTCATACATTCATATCCAACATAGAAGAGGGTCTACATTTACATATACTCAACATGAGGATTTGCCATTCTTGACCATGTCATGAATCTTGCCCTATCTTGCCCTAGAGGCCCTAGCTTCCTGCCTGCGTCTCAGGCGAGGACTTTCAGGCTTCGAGGCTTTGCGGCAAACCATGAGGACAAGATGACGACAAGATGACGACACGGTCATTTTTTGGGGGTTGGGTTCAAGCATGGGTTTGTTCAAACATGTTGCACCCCCCAATTTACCCTCCGGTAATCAAAGGTGGCAGTGGAGAACACCGAGAACACCGAGAACAAATGGAGGTTTCAATGGAAAAAATCATCTTTGAATGAAGGGGTGTTCCATTGCCACATTTGATTACCAGCTGGTAGATGGATTATCAGTGATTGGAAGCTGTTAGCATTCCTTTCCATTAGAGTTGCCATTTTGGAGTCTACCCTACTGGTTAAAATTCCAGGAAGGATGCGCATGCGTGCACAAATCGCTGGTCATTTGTAGTGTGCAACCATCATCAACCATCCATTTTTTGTGGCCAAGAATGTTGACCCAAACCTATCAATGTGAGATTGATCAATTGGACCTTTTAATCATCCCAAACATATTGAAACCTGGCAAACTGTTCTCCCTATTATTAATATATTATCATTATCATTATTATTATTATAGTATCATTATTAATTATATATTATGATGTTCTTTCTTGTTGCCTATGTTGGGTCCAGCATTTCTGTCTTTTTTTTGGCCCTCGTGACGCCATCCCATTTCCGTGGCATCGTTTTCCCCGATTTCGAGACCCAGGTGGATTGGGTCATACGACCTTCTTGGATTCGCGGATGGGATGGGTGTTGTATTGTTTGTATTTTTTGGCCTCATGGAATTATTGTTTTGTTGGAATCCCACCCTTTGAAACCGGTGCTAACATAAGGATTTGAATTGCATGACATTATATATATATAATGAATAGTGTTATGTACTGATACTCGATATATATCTCAATATATATATACTGCATTGTATACACACTCATAAAATCTTAGTGTCTCATGTATCAAATAAAAACCTCGGATCCATTTCTTCTTGACGGATGGCTCCAGCGTCAGGATGGATGGCACCAGCAATGGTTTCCGGGATCGGTCAAAGAGTTCCAAGCAGTGGGCAACTCAGGGCCCATGAAAATCTGAGGGGAAACGCGGCAATGTGATGGCTGATCATAACTTTTCCTATTAAGGCAGCTATAAATTGGGTTATACCGTGTGTATATATATATATATATACATATATATATATACACATGAGAGCTCGTAAAAACCCCGCGCCTATTCGTTTAGTCTTCCATGATCCCCCATGAGCCATTTTTAGCTTTCACTCGGAAAAAACGATAAGAGGAAAAAAACGATAACGTTGGTTATGTTAATGATACGTGTCCAGACTCTTGAAATCCAAAGTTCTTCATTTTTCCATCATTCTGTGGCTATTTAGTGCTTTTGGTCTCTTCCTTTCATTGTTTGTTGTCGTAATGGCGCAGATTCTGCACAAGGAAGGTGCCTGGTAGGTGGTCGCTACACTCCTTTTTTGATGATTGCAGCCATTTCCAGAAAAAAAGGAACACACACAGGATTCACGAACGATAACAAAACGATAACGAAAACGATAACTTTAGGCATCAAAAATGGTCCGTGTGAGACACTGCCTTTTTTTCCCTTTTCCTCTCCCTTTCCTTTTCCTTTCTCTTTCCTTTTCCTCTCCCTTTCCTATTCTTTCCTTTCCCTTCCTTTACTATTCCTTTTCCTTTTCCCTTTCCTCGCTCATGTGAATTCTTTGGTCAAGGTGTGAAGCCAGCGCTTGGAAAAACGATAAGAGGAAAACAAAAAGATAACATCTGGAAAAACCATTTGAAAGGGCTCGGGGTTTTTACAAGACCTCACATGTGGAATTTACACCATGTTTGGACAAAACCACATTTGCAAAGAAGATGTAAGATAGTATGACTTTTTTGGATTCAAGACCCCCTAAACTGGGATGTAAGAATCAACAAGTGGACCTGGGAATGCAGATGAAGATATAGTCCATGACAAAGGAATCGACCCATCCAACAAACCATAATCTCTATTAATCTCTTAGTTTGTGCAGATACCATTTAAACAGTAAAACTGCTTTCCAACAGTGCCACGCAAAGCTGCAGCGGCGTATCTTAACGTTTTCCAAAGTCACTGGTAGAATCTTTGGGCGAAGCACAACAACAAGAGAACCCACATATGTCAATATATTATATACATATTATATAATAATAATATATATATATATACACACCGTACTATAATTTAATTATAATTATATATATATAAATATTTAATTAATATTATAATTTAATATATACATATATATAAATATTTAATTAATATTATAATTATTATATATATAAATATTTAATTAATATTATATTTATATATATACACACCGTACTATAATTTAATTAATATTATAATTATATATATATAATTTAATTATAATTTATACAGTTATACATATAATATTATATGCACACATATACTTGATAAAGAATCATGTTGTGACAGCTAGCATCGTGTGGTGGTGCCCAGGAAGCCTGGTGCCCTGAGCCGCAACTGAGTTGCGTTTAGTCGACGCTCTGATGGCTTTCTGATGGCTTTTCCAATGAGTTTCTCGAAGAAAGGAGTCCCCAAAACAGGTCATTAAAAAAGTGTTCCGATGATTTTGATGTCGACATTTCATGACATTTCTACAGCTCACACTTTTTTCCTGTTAACACATGGGATATCCCCCAATATTGACTATATAATCACCATGATAAACCATCGGATTTTCGGGTTGATCCCCAGGTTACGGCGCCAGCTTCATGGAGGGCAGCCGTTCTGAAGCCCTGCTCCGGGTACCATGGTGGACATCCAGCAATTTTCTGTAGATTAGCACAGGTTTATATCATCTTATATCTAGTTGCTTTATTGGGGGTCGGGTGTGCCCGGCTACCAACTTGTTTTGTGAGCTTCACTTGCATCATCCAAGGTGGAAATTGTTTGATAACTTTTGATACCTACGGAGACAACCCAGTTATAAGTTATAAATCCAATAACCCTATATAACCCTGGGATTAGGGAACTTGCCAAGCAGGTTTTTGACCTGCCTATCAGTCAGCACGCGTTACGAATCATGGTTCTGAGCCAGACATGTGCCATGTGCATCCATGTGCCTTATCGGACTTGCTGAGGGTTGTTGCTTGGTGGGTATATAATCGGTATATAGATAGGATCCTCCAAGTAACGCAGCTTGTCTTTGTGAGTCAACCCCCAATTGCTTAAGACGATGATCCAAGATGATCCCAAAAAATGATCAGGTCCCTCAGGTCCCTATGGTAATCAAACATGGCATTGAAGAATCTCTGATTAATTAATTGGTAATATATAGAATGGTCCCTATGGTAATCAGATTAACAAATATATATATATATCTATGATTACATATGGTAGTGTTTAATTATATATGTTTTTCCAATTCAAATGCCCATGTATAGTGGATTTTCCGTCGCCATGAATACCGGAGGGCTGAGGCTACCTCTAAACATGGCATGCTTGAAGTTATACGACTACCAGAAATCTACACCCCCCAGGCTTCATTTATTTGACCCGTCACCATGATAGGACCCCCTAGCGAATGTGCGAATGTCACATCAAACACTACCGAACTGCCAAATGTCTGAATTCAATAGTCATGGTTGGTGGTTTTACAGTTGTACTTATTGGAATATTCCTTAAGATCTTAAGGATGATTTGTGCCATCTCGATATAACCAACGATTGCCGCCAGGAGGAGCGTTTGAGAGGCCAGAGTCACCACCTAGCTGAGGTTGATCGGGCTTGATCCGAGCCCGAATGTCGATGATAAACCCAAATAGTAGGTCAACCTTGGTTAGATACTTTAGTATACTTTAGTACTTTAATCTTTTACTCTCAATTGTGAAATTTTGTAACCAGCTGAAAATTAGATGTTTGACAGGTATCTAAGGTTCACCGTGAATAATAATTAATATATAGTATATATAATTATATATGCGTATATGGAGTACTACTACCAGCCATATCTCTCCATTTGTACTGTTTTTATATGGGATGTCCATAAATGGGGGCACTCCAATGGCTTGATGGTTTATAATGGACAACCCTATTACAATGGATGATTTATGGCTACCCCGCGTTTTAGGACACCTCCATATATAAAATTTGGTGTGTCCAAAAACATTTGAAGAAACTTGAAGATGTGATGTGTTTTCCTCAACCCAAAAAGAAGAATTGGTGCCTGTAATTAGTAATGTGACCCTCTGGCTTCCAACGGCTTCATCGATTTTGGCGCATAAAATGGAAGATGATAGCATCTCTTCCGGATCCCATTGTTACAATATTAACTGTATATATACATATATATATATATTGTAGTGTAGGTATCAACAAAAACACTCAGGCAGTTGCCAGCTGAACATATCTCATATCCGTACATATCTAAGCCCTCAATGGAATATTCTGCTCTCGCTGCGTCAGGGCACTTGCCAAGTCTGTCGCAGTCTCGGTCGACTCAGGTGGGGCCGTAATTTTCTGATAAGATAGCTATGAACAATGACCGTTTATAGATGGTGTACCTGTTAAAGATGGTAGGGTTTCCATAGCTTCGTCAGATTACCATAGTTTTTTGATGTTTTTTGTTGAGATCAAAAAGCTTAAGCAAAGCATCGTGTTTTAAGATATTATATACTATATTATATACTATATTATATACTATATTATATACTATATTATATACTATATTATATACTATATTATATACTATATTATAAATATTATATAGTTTCTTCTAGTTTATAGATAGATGAGACCAAGAAGATAAAACACATCACAATCCTGGCACAAATTTCCCTGGTGCTTTCATGGGGCCAGGCAATGCAACGCACAGCTCATGGGGTGGCGACTTGGATGGTCCAGGGATCCTCATGTCGGCTATATTTGTTGAATTTACCCTCTGGTGATGTCAAAATAGCGATTGAAAATGGCCCAGTTATAGGTGATTTACCTATTAAAGATGGTGATTTTCCATAGTTATGTTAGTTTACCAGAGGGTACTGAATGCACTCAATATCGAATTGACTGGAGCGGAAGAACATAAAAAAAAGCTGTCAATGATTCTCGTGACTCATGAATTTATGAAGTTCAGGGCTACGCACATACGCACATCCCGAGAAAATGCTGATACGTTACATCGACCAATAGCGTTGGGTTTTGCTGAGTAGCCAGTAATACCTAATATCCATTAATATCCACTATAATTATTTCTTTTGATCCGCGAAATATTAAATTATCTTAACTTGCCCCCACTATAGTTATTTCTTTTGATCCGCGAAATATTAACTTGCCCCTCTAGAATCCCTTTTCCATCCTTGTCCAAATATTGAATCATATTGAATCTTTTTTTTTTTGGGACCGGGGCATCATCCTCAGGTAGTGTGTCGCCCCGGAGAGCTGCCACCGCCACCCTTCAAGACTGAGGCCGGCCCATGAGAGCTGAGGGGATTCAGCTTGTGTGACTCATTGCATGTTATGAATGTTGAGGATGCTGCCATATGAATATTATAGGGAAATTCCCAGGCCAGAATGAATTGAATGAATGCCACGGATTCTTCACCTAGTAGTGAAAAAAAGATCCGAATTTGCCGTAAGCTCGGCGTAAGCAATCATTAAGCTAGTGATAAGCGAAGGTTGCATTCACTGACCCCGGTCCCATTGTGGTTCCTTTGCAAATAATTGGATCATTCCATGTCCTCAAAAATGGTTTGCCATGAGAGATGCGTAGGCTAATTCGTTGAAATTGTTTTGACGTAAGCAAAACCTTGTAAAACCTAAGCGAAGGTAAGCTCCTACGTGAGCTTTGAATTCTTGGAAAAGGAACATGAAACAATTGGAAATTCTTGAGCCAAACCCATGGGGGTCGCCGGAACCATAAGTCACACCTTCGACTTGTATACCTCAATTAATATAATCGGCATTCTCTACCAGAATCAGGGAGCCCCGATGGTCTTGACAGACCTATAAGGTTGATTCCCATCATCCCAATACCCAGAATGCATGAACAAAAATATACGTTAGTCCAGCTACGTAGTACTCATGACAAAATCCAACAAATACATCTATACACATGTCAGGCTATATATGTCACAACACAATATAGGTCAACTAAATCAATCGAATTCGATATGTCATCAACATTTATCATCCGTCAACTGTCAGATGTCATCAGATATTTTTGTTCTCATATCAGTAACTTTTCTGGTTGGGGATATACAGGAGGTTTCCAATCCATGGGGGTAGCCCCAGATCATCCATTCTATTTTCGGATTTTCCATTATAAACCATCAGTATATATATATATATATTACTAAATTATATTATATTATATTATATTTTATTATGTTATATTATATTATATTGTATTATATTATATTATATCATATTATATTATATCATATTATATTATATAAAATCATATTATATTATATTATATTATAGTATATTATATTATATTATATTATATTATATTATATAGATTATATTATATTGTATTACATTGTATTATATTACATTATATTATATTATATTATATTATTATACTATACTATACTATATTATATTATATTATATGATATTTTATTATGTTATATTATATTATATTATATTAATTATATTATATTATATTATATTATTATATATATATAGTAACCATCCAGCCATTGGGGTATCCGCATTTTAGAAAAGCCCTGTGCGTGGCAGACCCTTGCCATCTGGAGGCTTCACGCTGTGCCATCAACTCGTGTGCCAAGAAGGCGACGCAAAAACGCTTCCCGGTTCGAATGATACACCGTTACACCGCCGACATCAACATCAATTGGGTTTTTAAAATGGGAAAATAGTGGGCCACATCAATTGATTGAAGTTTGTAGTTTGTTCAATTTATTTTCATATATAAATCAACATCAATTAGGGTTTTCATATATATGAAAATAAATTGAACAAACAACTTCACTACAAACTTCACTAATGACAGCCGGGTTGATGTTGATTTTGGTAAGGGGTGAATGCCATAAATGGGATGGATTTGACAAAAGAGTGGGATGGATTTGATGTCACACATCAATTTTTACCAGGGCTTTGCTGTAATTCAGGAACCACCCCCCTGTAGGGGAATTTTGTTGGTGGGTGGTTTCAAACCTCAATTACTTGTGCGTTCCTGACAGACGCGGTCATGATGACATGATTACTTCCAATACGTTTGGGATGGATTGAATGCACCAACTAGATTCAAAGACCGCCGGACAAGGTGATTTGGGTGAGTTTTTTTGAGGTCTAAAGTGTTGAGAGTTTCAGTGCGTTACGCTATGGAACCCTTCAGAGGTGTTTGCTACTGATAAGTTTTAGCAACATCACCTGGAGCGACGAAGTCCCCAAAATTGATGATTCCATGGATGGATTGCCGAACTGGATTCATCCATATTTTTATTATCCACAATGGGATTATTTCATGCCTCCTCAATTGGATTTCTAAACTGGTTGGTGGTTTGAAACATCTTTTATTTTCCCCAATAGTTGGGATGATGATCCAATCTGACTTCATATTTTTCAGGGGGGTTGAAACCACCAATTAGTAAATTTAGAACCCAAAGCAATTGGAGGGCAAAACCATCCGAACACCTGCCATTTTCCTATGATCTTTCCATCTGAGGCATTGAGGATCCCGAAATTGGTCGACATCGCTTGATTTGTGACCGGGCTGGAACCACCGGGCGTGGACAAAACTTCGCAGTGACTGGTTGACCTTTGTTATTTAGGATAGGGGAGTATACTACCTGTTTTGTTGATGTTTATTGGCGATTGTTGAACAACATATGATTGAACAGAATATTAATTATTGGAGATGATATTATTGAACCATGTAATATCGAAGAACATATCGTGAGAATCTCTATCAACCATCCAATACGAAGGAATGCAAACAGTTTTGAGCACTACTCACCTAGCAATAGAGCATTCCTGCCAGATGGATTGCTAAAGAATCTACAGATGGATGGAAAAAAAAATCAATGAACTATAATCCATATGCCGCAGGACCAAATGAAACGTTATCGAATGAGTTGGACCGCGACACCATCCACCAAATTGGTTTAATGAAATGTAAAGCAACAGGAACCACCATTCCCAATTTTGCCATTTTTATGGCTGGGATTCAAACCATCAATCCGTATGGGTGGTTTTCGGGTGGTTTCTTATTGTTTTACTAGCTTTATGATTTATTACTTTTTATTTCAACGGAGAATACAGCAGCTAGCCCCAACATATTTATGGAACACGATCGATGACAAACCATGGGATGACAACCCGAAAAGCCACTCTTTGAAGTTCCAGCTGTTTTCATCAGAGGGTTGGTTGACATCCTGTTTCTGTTCAACTCCAGGATGGTTACATGTTTTGCGGAGTCTACACACCTTCTTCCTGGTTCCGCCTGCTCATTGCCTCTGACAATCTCTGACACGTTTGTTTGAGAAACCACGTCCATGACAACGTCAAAGAACCACACGATTTTGGGTTTTACAGCCATGATGACTATCATCTTATTAACTTATTGGTTGACCGCCAGCAACTACTGGTTGTTTGATGTTGTTTGGTGGATTGGAATCCAGTAGTCTTTCAAGACGGAAACAACCGGAAACTCATAGTTTTCGATTAGTCCCCAAACCCATGATCATCAAAGTCCATCAAACTCAAAGAAAACACAGAAGATCCATATAGATTCTAGATCCAACAAAACAAAACAATTGAACCATGTTAACAAAACACGATTAAAAACGTAGATCAGCATTGAAAAGTCATCAAGTAAATCCATGTAGACCCATCTATAGATCCATGCTAGGTGGTGCCCCTCAAAACCCATTTAACTATAGATCCCAGGTCATGTTGTACTGAGGTCCGCCGCACAAGACCAAGGATGCTCTGGATGCAGTTGGCTATCGGGCCACCCACAAGGAGCCGCAGACGGTGAGATGCCAAGTGAGCCGGGTTTCAGGGGGTACAGTAGCTGGGGGATGTTTGATGATTTTCTTAGGAAAGTATAAGAAGAGTTAAGAAGATATAGGAAAAATCAATCAAGGTCAAGGAACATCAATATGTGCGAAGATATGCGAAGATGAGATCAAATCAGAACATGGACATGTAGAATGGGACAATCAATGTTTTGAATGGGAACATATATGATTGAAGGGAACATGTGTGCCATGGTCAAACATGGGTTGTTTTCCATGAAAGGGAATGGTGATGAATCCATTAACACCCATTGGTCAAGGATTCCCTTAGCCTTTATGGGATGCATATGGGATGCATGACCGTAAACCATACAGCATATTTTGACCGAAACACATACTATCGGACAAAGTCGGACAATAATTTGAGTGGGTTCTGGTATAATGATTGTACATGATTCCGGGGCAAAATCGTCGCGTGGCTTTGTTGCAAAAAGGGTATTTACTTCCTATTCATATTTTCAGCTGTGTGATGGATGGCTAATCACCCCATGATGCGCCCTTTTTATACCGATTTGTTGATGACCTTTTCCCAGTAGACATGGATGTTTTCCATTGAAAGCGTGGGTTACAACCAGTCCACGTCACAGATCCTGCGGGTTTTGTGTGCTCGACGAGGTGCAAGAAGTTTTGCAAGAACTGAAGGGCAAGATTCCGAATTTCTAGCTGCAACAATGCAGGGACGAGAGATGAAAGATGACATGACAGGTGCATCTCAAAGCAGGCTATGCAGGCTACATTCTGCTATGTGTTGATCTACGAGGTCTTAGATATGATGGATGTTGAGTGTTTCGTACTGTTTTATGATGTTTCAAGTTCCAAGCTATTCAGCGCAAGTTCCGACAAGGTGTGTACTCCATTCACAGTGTTTGATGGTTGACAAGATAAGAAAAGACTGTTGACAAACGATTTGCTTTAATCAATACAGAATGTTGAGAAAAGTAAGCCCATTCATTGTTGTTATTGCATCCACTGCACATACCAAGCATATTGTTCATTTTGAAATCGCAGGCTCTCAGCCTCAAGATTCAGACAAACGGAAACTCCCATGCTATTAGATGTCTCTTTGTGCATACTTTCCATTACTTTCCCATTTCACCCTGAAATATTACTTGCTACTTTTCTCCATTCAACCTGTAGACATTCATGGTATGGCTTCCACCTTTCTACTGCATTTTGTGGATCATCTTTGAGATGCACCACAGATGGTGGCGCTTTTTTTTTCTCCGACCCCTGCCGTCCAAGACGGCTGCCGTCGGAGCGGCGTTGTGGACAGGGCGTAGAGCGAGAGCCGATGTTTGGGGATGGACAGCAAGTGCTTCATGTTTTGGAACCACCATCGTGACCAATATTCTTGCGATGCGATGAAACCACAAACCACATTGAGTTCCACCGTGTTCTCTTTTTCATGCAAACCATTTCGATGTCTGATGAATATTGGATATCAACACATGCAAGGTTCCAAAGGAAGTGATCAGAGCTTCATTCGCTGAAATATCAATTGCAGGTTGATTGCCGTCACCCAAACATGCTGGCAACCAGGCAATATTTGCCACTTTTCGCCACCAGTGGTAGTCTGCCCCTACTGCTGTCCCGCTTCTAGAGATGCCCAGATGGGCTAACAGGATGCGAGGGCGACCTGTCAAAATCGTTAGCAGCTGCCAGTGGATACAGGTGTGGTGTGGGTCTAAGATAAGTGGATCCAAAATGCAGAATTGAATAGAATTGATGACTTAAGCGTCAACATCCCTATTGTTCCTTTTGATGCATTTTTCATAATTGTGATTACCCTCTGGTAATTTAACATAGCTATGGAAAATCACCATTTTCAATAGCTATGTTAGTTTACCAGAGGGTATTCTCTGGTGTTCAATCTTGCTTGGCCGGCACAGCTCGCAGTGGAAGACAATAATTGTCGTGCCTTAGAACTGACAGATTCTGCCAAAATTGACTCTGTCACCATCATATCAACAAACAAATTAAACACTTGTCCTCAATCGTTCAAGCCGTTTGTCTGGTGGTAAATCATATATTTGCAGTGTCATTAATGATACGCCCAAGATTCGAGCTGAACATGACTCCAACAGAAACAGAATCTGTCAATATCAAATGAAAATCTTCCAGTTGAAATTTTCCTGTTGAAATCCTGATATATCCAGTTTTGGGGTTTCAAAGTATATTCAGGGTATATTCGGTTGAAGCAATTTTGAATGGAGATGCTTTGTAGATGATCGCTGCTGTGTTGTTCCCCCACTAAGTCCCTCGAAAGTCCTCCGTGGAGGATCTAGTGGAAGTCATTGGTATCTAAATGATTGGTTGAAATCTTGTTATTAGATGTAGCCAGTTTCAATGATAGAAGGACTTATATAATTTAATCATATATATATATAATCATATATATACATTAAAACTTAATCTAACAAGGTTTTTTCATAGTTGATCTTAAACCACTTTGTGTCCCGTGTATCCCTTCGTCCCAGTGGCTGTCTAAAAAATGGCTTTCTCTCCGCGGCCAGGTGCTGACTCAGTGGCCCAAAGGAAATCAGATCGCAGCAGTTGGCTTTAGCCGTTTTGAAGCTGAAATCGAGCCAGAACTACAGGAGCTCAGCTGGGACGGGTGGAAGATGGTGGAAGGACCATGTTCTCCAAAACCAAAAAAAAACACCTGTTGAAGTGACATGAACATAGCTGGTGAATTGATGATTTTTTGTCGTATTGGAATTATCCCAACATTGCCAGGGGGAGATTCACTGCAAATGGTCATGGGGGTTCACCTTAATAGGCAAAAATGGAATTGGTTAAGCCACTAATCACAAAAAAACATGTGTACAGACGAACATCCTATTATGAAATATTATACATGCGATTTTGTTTGCTTGTTTGCTTGCAATTTTCACAGAGATAGTTGTGACAACCACCCAGCATACGGACGACTTATTTCACTGATCATGGGGATTTGACCAAGACTAAGGTGGGTTGACTATCCAAAAACGCGTGGAAAAGGACCTGAAAACGGATTCGAAATGCATCCTCTGTGATCAACAGCTTGGGTGTCTAGTATCACATATGCACGTTAGAATCTATGATAAATACATATAGTAGTAGTAGTAGTAGTAGTAGTAGTAGTAGTAGTAGTAGTAGTAGTAGTAGTAGTAGTAGTAGTCGTCGTTAGAATCTATGATAAATACATATATTATTGCATATTTATTGTGTATATATATAATTATATATATATGTATATATGGAGGTTTCCTAATATGGGGGGGTACCCCAAAATAACAGGTTTCAATGCTAAAATGGTCAAGTTTGGGATGATTTGGGGTACCTCTATTTTAGGAAACCACTTTTTTGGGCATCAATAAACAACAGCAACCCACACATGAAACTGTCCCAGGGCCTCTTTATCCGTTGCTTCTCGGACGTGTTGCAGCCCGGAGTCTCGGATGTCACGACTCGAGGATGACCCCAAATCTTGTGGTCACGAGCTACGACCTCAGTGTACTGTGTAAGGTTTACAGGATCTCATCTCCAAAATGTTCACCTTACTTCACCGTACTTCACATTACTTCAGGTTTGTGAATTGTTGAACTAATTTGAAGTAATATAACCTTTTAGAACTAATTACTTTTTATATAGAACATTTTAGAACTAATTTGACCCAAAGAAAATTAGTCTTAATTTGGTCGTCTCCTCGTCGCCAAGGAGGTGCACCGGTGCACCTCCTTGGCTTCCGCTGGATTCACAGCCGCAAATACGGTATGACCCCCTGAGCATCATACGTACTTTCCCAGAACATACCGAGGATCCATAGTAAATATAGTAGTAGAATGATTAGAATGTAATGTCATTTAATGTAAGATGCGTCGTTATATGTTCCTCTTCTTGTCTCCCTTTCGGAACGAGTTGAAGTCCGAAAAAATCGCTAGGCCGCAGCATGGCAAACCCATGAAACATCGGCGTCGAAGAGCCACTCGGCAGCAAAACATTGGAATTTTCATGACATTTCTCAACTCTCGTGAGTTTTGCTCACACAAAAGGGATTCGTTAATTTTCATATTTGGACCAGGAAAGCTTTGAATAATTATTGCCATATCTACCAACAAAAGCCGTGTACGATATGTTTGCTCATATCTAAGGCACCGTATCGCAGTGTGATCATAGTTGCGAACCACTCAGCAGGATTGGATATATAGATCCCAACCTTCACCCTCCCAAAAGACTAGTCTCCAGTAAAATTATCACATAGACCGTGACAATGGCCAGTTTTGGCAACTCATCAATTCAAAACCCCCAGAACAATGGGTACGCGCCTTGCATTTGACCCTACCCCAATGGTTTCGCATATGACCCTACCCCCATTTTGGGGTAGGGTCGAATGTGAGAAAGTAGCGTTTTTAGTTGCGAAAAGAGGGCCCCGGAGATGATGATGATCATGATGATGATGATGATGGTGATGATGATGATGATGATGACGATGGACGATCATGATGATGGTGATGATGATGATGGTGATGATGATGATGATCATGAGGACGGTGATGATGGTGATGATGAAGATGGTGATTATGATGATGATGATGATGATGATGATGATGATGATGACGACGACGATGGACGATCATGAGGATGGTGATGATGATGATGATGGTGATGATGATGATGATGATGATGATGATCATGATGACGGTGATGATGGTGATGATGATGATGATGACGATGATGATGATGGTGATGATGATGGTGACGATTTTGATGATGACGGATGATCGTAATGATGGTGATGGTGATGATGATGGTGATGATGGTGATGATGGTGATGATGGTGATGATGGTGATGATGACAATGATGATGATGATGATGATGATGTCACACACACAACTTTGTCACATACAACTTTGTCACACACAGCTCTTTCACACAATCTGTCTTCCACCATCTCCTTTACCTTTGCTACCTTCCCCCTCCCATCTTCTTGGTTGTGTTTTGCTTTTGGAAGAAGTTGGCAAGTGGGGTTATCCGGTCCCATAAGTGACGATGATGTTGATGATGATGGTGATGATGATGATGATGGTGATGGTGACGATGATGATACCAATGAATGTAATTGTTCAAGGGGGGCTGGTTGATTTGATAGCAATGAATGTAATTGTTCAAGGGGGGCTGGTTGATTTGATACCAATGAATATAATTGTGCAAGGGGGGCTGGTTGATTTGATACCAGTGAATGTAATTGTTCAAGGGGGGCTGGTTGATTTGATAGCAATGAATGTAATTGTTCAAGGGGGGCTGGTTGATTTGATAGCAATGAATATAATTGTGCAAGGGGGGCTGGTTGATTTCATACCAATGAATGTAATTGTTCAAGGGGGGCTGGTTGATTTGATACCAATGAATGTAATTGTTCAAGGGGGGCTGGTTGATTTGATACCAATGAATGTCATTGTTCAAGGGAGGCTGGTTGATTTGATAGCAATGAATATAATTGTGCAAGGGGGGCTGGTTGGTTTCATACCAATGAATGTAATTGTTCAAGGGAGGCTGGTTGATTTGATACCAATAAATATAATTGTGCAAGGGGGGCTGGTTGATTTCATACCAATGAATGTAATTGTTCAAGGGGGGGTGGTTGATTTGATAGCAATGAATGTAATTGTTCAAGGGGGGCTGGTTGATTTGATACCAATGAATGTCCTTGTTCAAGGGAGGCTGGTTGATTTGATAGCAATGAATATAATTGTGCAAGGGGGGCTGGTTGGTTTCATACCAATGAATGTAATTGTTCAAGGGGGGCTGGTTGATTTGATACCAATGAATATAATTGTGCAAGGGGGGCTGGTTGATTTGATACCAATGAATGTAATTGTTCAAGGGGGGCTGGTTGATTTGATAGCAATGAATATAATTGTGCAAGGGGGGCTGGTTGATTTGATAGCAATGAATGTAATTGTTGAAGGGGGGCTGGTTGATTTGATACTAATGAATATAATTGTGCACGGGGGGCTGGTTGATTTGATACCAATGAATATAATTGTGCAAGGGGGGCTGGTTGATTTGATACCAATGAATGTCATTGTTCAAGGGGGGCTGTTTGATTTGATAGCAATGAATGTAATTGTTCAAGGGGGGCTGGTTGATTTGATACCAATGAATGTGATTGTTCAAGGGGGGTTGGTTCACGGATGTCTGGTTTGAGGCAGGGTAAAGTGGGGTAGGGTCAAATGTGAACCGGGAAAGGTTGTTTTTTCCTGGAAGGTTTGCGTATTTTTGTTAGGGTAGGGTCGAATGTGAGGGTGCGTGCGGTTCTTTTGGAGTAGGGTCGAATGTGAGGCTGCGGTAGGGTCGAATGTGAGGTCCTTACCAGAACAATGGCAGGGTCTATGATAACTTACAGCTATAATGTTATTTCATTGAATTGGTTTAAGGAAAAATTGACATTTGAACCATGTTGAACCCCTTATCTTTTGGGAGAAGCCTATGGTAAAACCGGTTTGGATGTTCCCGACATCCCACAGACCCATGGTGGCGACCAAAAATCTCACCAGGAACTTCGACACTCGGTGGGAAACAGCGAGATGGCGGCGGAAGCTAAGAAACCCTTGATGTTTTTGGAGGCGAGGTAAACGCTCGGGGCAGTAGGGAACCTGATGTTTCAGTAAACACCACGGAGACATATATGGATATATGCTGATATATGATGAGATCTACAAGGATATACTATTGATATCTATTGACAATCTCTATGAATTGCTACATGTGCGTCAGTTTTTTTTCCTTTAACGCGGATGGAAGAACCCCACTAAAAAACATTGAGCTAGTAGACATCATGGCAGACAAAATTTATGCAGGGTTTGCCCCTGGTTTTTTTCCATCTCGTTTTTGGTTAGTTTGGTGGATGGATTTGGAGGTTTTCCATAATTCTTCACAATTGAAATGCCAATCTAGATTCCTTTCCTTGGGTTTCCATCTCTATGATGTAGGATATATAAATATGATATATAGTGATGTAGGATATATATATATATAAATGATATATATATATATACTCTATGAAAAACATTGAAAAACCATCCCCAATCATTTCCATCAAACATTCACCATGGATCCATGGTGCGTCTTCCTGGCATCTGGAAATGGATGAAATGGGTCAAGTCATTGGGGACACCAAACTCTGCATGACCCGGGCCTTTCCCTTAAAAATAGCGTAAAATAGCCTGACAAAAAAAAACACACAAAAAAAACAATGGACAGTAATATGGAACATACTTGGAAAATCATAACCTCCAACCATGGTTAAAATATTGGAAGTTATCATCTTCCAACCCATCTTCCAACCCCTCACCGTTGCCTGGCAGGACGTTCAGCTGCCCTCGGAAGAGCTGCAACGGAGCACCTTCTCACTGGAGGACGCGGTGATTTGACATTGCCAGGTTTGGTCCTCATAGAAAATAGCATTGTATGACTAGATATATTTATGAGGGTTTGGTCCTTATAGATTCTATAATATATTATATTTATAATTATAGACTAGATATACTATTACATAGAGCTGTAGTCTAGCAGGTAAATTTGGATTTTGGTCTTTGGAGGGAGTACCATTTAGATTTCCATCATCAAGAAAAGGCCGGCTGAGGACTTTTTTCGCCAATTGGTGCACCGCGCAGGAAATCCTTTCGAGAAACATCTTGTGGTTGGTGGTGATGTCGGTGTGCAAAGTGGTGCCGACCTAAGCGGGGAAATCGGTGGAATCATGAAGAGTTTGTGTCGTGCCATGTCGTGCCGTATCTGTCCTTTCCTTTCCGGCATCAGATATTGTCAATATCATCAATATCATCAACTATTAACAATATCCAGTGTAACATCAATATTATATATATATATATCAATATCCAACTACGGTTGCCAGAACCGAAGATCGTGGTTGGAAAATGTCCAAAGTTCCCGATGAGAAAAGCGGCAAGTCGTATAGAAAATGTCCACATAAGGAAAACAACTGCCATTGAAATGGGAAGTATTATGAAAAGCATAGTTCCTTATTGATCCTATAAGAAAACTATCTCTCTCTCTCTCTATATATATAACTATAGTATATAATTATATATATATATTATCTTAGAGAACTCAATTGATGATTGAATCCCCAAATTTGAATTTGAAAATCATCTGAAATCCCCCTCCATGTCTGTGGCTCCGTTCTCGAGGATTTGACACCAGCTCCCGGCGGCATGGGGCAGGTCTGGGGGTGGTGCAAATACGTTGTGCTTACCTTTTGTTTGGCCACAAAGAATATGTTATATATATTTATATATGTATACAGTACATAATATTAATTAGTTATAGTTATATATACTCATGATAATAGTACCATAGTTATATATAGTTAGTTACTACAACCTTTTTGCCGTGAATGGGATTAAATATGATCTATAGGATGATGGTTGAGTACCTAAGATTCGCGATTCGCCATTTGAACATGGTTTGTTTTCCTGGCACGTGAAACTGAGGTCCACAGCACGGGTTCAAAGGATGAACTTCCGATTAGAAAATACATATATTTTTTGTGTGCGATGCTCTATGTTCAGGGTGTAGAAAACTGCCACTTTGTGTGTCCTTTTGGAAGCAGTGTGGATTGGAGATATATCCAAGAGATTACCAGATTGACTGACACTCCTTCTATGCCCAGAATAGACTCACCACCATTTGAAGCAATCATCCTGTACTGGCTTTGGAAGTAACAGATTGATGGCGACTTGGTGGTTCACCTCGTAGCTCCGAACCTGAGTGGACCGTCTACTTCCAATTACTGTACAATCGAAGTTATGACCCCTTCATGATGTATGGGATGAGCCACCAAGCAATCCCATCCCCCTTTCAGATTAAACATCCACCCACCCCAAAAACATCAACAAAAACATGGTGGATGTAGGGGATTCGCCATCAACCTGCGTGTCAGGAGAAAGCCCACTCCATCGGTTCCACACCACACGCCTTGGACATTCTCATCTCCGCAATGGAAAGGCGGGGGCAGAAACATGCAGAAACCACAGCGGCAGCTGAACCGTGTGTTGAGCGTTGAATTTGGTGGTCTTAGCAAAATATATCAGCAATATTAAACAGCAACATGGCATGTTATGGATTTATGGTACACTTTAGCAACAGAGAGCATACGTATTATGTGCCAAATCTGGTGGCTTCGGGAAACATCAAGCGTAAACAACCGTTGCTATACTGTGTATAGCAAGGAACAATCATGGCCACACATGGGAATATACATATATGATATTTAAATATATACATATATAAACATATATATATATATGCATTTACTTATATGTACATACACAAAGAAACATGAGTAACATGTATATCACCAGATGTACTATGTACCACACATCTTTGGGATCCCCTTACCCCTGTTGTCACCAGGACCGGCCACGATGATCCCATTGGATTGATGCGCAGCTAGCGCAAATACAGATGATGGCCACCAAAAGCCCTACAGATATATGATATATATATATATATACATATGTCTTGACTTTGGAGATCACATCCCCATATATCTCAACCTCTGATCCACATTTGTCTCAAAAAAAATGAATCCCATCCCAGTAAATCATTCTTTTCCTATTTAAACATCTTTAAACTGGATCCAAACTGCGCTCCATGCTGCGTCCAGCCCCCGCGCCATGGCGAGCCGCGGCGGTTCCGAGCGCCAGGGGACTCGCGGGCGCCGCCGGGGCAGCCAGGGCGCGGCGTTTTGAGAACTTCCAGTGGTTTCTCGGCAGCGATGGGCCATGGGATGGTTCTCTATGGGTCAAAACCCTATCCCCCTGGTGAACATCAAAATAGCTGGTAAATGGATGTTCATCCCCCTAAAAATGGTATGTATAGGTATATTGATCCATAGCCATATCAACTCAACGGTAACCACATTGTAACCACAAACTATCCCAATGGTAATCCATTGAACTAACTGAACTAGGCCCATCTATATAAGAAGGATGTGGCTTTCGGACTCATTTTCCCAAGTGGCAATGTGTTACGACAGGAAGTATATTGGGAAGTCGTATCAACATGCACCTCATCTTTTGATTCAACTCACCAACTGGACCAGCTTGGCCTTCCCAGGTACCCACAATGCGTGGTGCCTTTGGCCGCCGCGGCTGCCATAGGGCAGCGCAAGGGCAAGGCGCCAAAACGCGCCGCTGGCCCGGAGGATGTGGAGACGGTGGAAACAGTGCCGACAAGGCAGATATGTGGGAGGGTTTCTAAAATCGGGGATACTGCAGATACCCCAATGGCTGGATGGTTTATATTGGAAAATCCGTGAAAGAATGGATGATTTGGGGCTACCCCCCCTTTTAGGAAACCTCCATGTGGGGATTATGTGGGGATACTGTATTATATATGGGATGTTTACTGAAAATATTGGACACCCTAATATATATATAATATATATATATACAGTAATTGACATGGGGATGAAACAATTGAAATGATGATTCGATATTCGAGTCTTATTCAGGTCCTCGATGGAGATATTGACGTCGACTAGCAAAGATGGAAATATCTCGGATATGAACTCGATATCAACCAAAAAACATTTTTGTTGTTCGATCTAACTTGATCAATATATATGTATATATTTAATATAATATATATATATTAAATATAAATATATATTAAATATATATATTAAATATATATATATTAAATATATATATATATATATGATTCACAGTTGATTCCATATTTTTTCCGGAATACCTCAGCAACAGTGGCAGGTTGGCCCTGCTCCGTTTCGCCGCGCCACTGGCCGCGGTCAGCGTTTGTGGGCCCATTCTGTCCACCATCGACACGTCCTTCGTGGGGCGCTGTGCTGGGACGGTGGAGCTCGCTGCCTTGGGGCCCGCGTGTACCGTGACAGATCTGATCTACCTCATCTGCAGCAGCTGGGCTGGGTGTTACATTGGCTTCGGCTGGGCGAAAAAAATATTTTTGCTTCAAAAACTGCCAGATGTTGGGGATGATTCATTGATGTTAAGCTGCGAAGTTTGAGGTTGTGAAATCAGATTGGCTTTTTCGGGAGAACAATCTAACTTGTCGAGGTTGCCCATTGATGTTTGTTGATGTTTCTGAGATGATTCGTACAGAGGATCCGCTGCAGACGAGGTACTGTGTCCACTGCAGCAATCAATCTCTACGCCAAAAACAGTGATGAGGAGCAGCTGAATTGCAAAGTGTCGCAGACATTTTTTCTTTGCTTACCATTCCTGGAGAAAGACGTCAACTGTCCATCCAAATCGGAATTTGCAGATGCTTGCTTTTTTTGTTGTCTAATGACTAACTTTTTCGTGAGTCAATCAGGGATGAATCCTCCAACAATGCAGGATATGTTCCCTGCTGTTGACTTGTTTGTTTTTTGGCCAGTTGATGGGGGTGATTTTTGTTCAGGGCCTTCTGGGCGAGGGTATCACCATGGGTAGGGAAGACAGGAAACCATGGCGAGATTCGGTTTCAGGGGGGTGGTTCTGTGCATTCTCCCCATATTCTCCAGGCTTTTGTCCAACGGCTGTGTCTCTGTAATTGCCAGATGATATTTGCTGGTCAGTTTCCGCAGATTTTTGTGTCCATATATGTGTGTTCAAGTCCAACATCCTCATCTCCATTTACGCAATTTTTTATGTACCGTAGTTGCAATTCCCATAAGTTTATACTTAAGGTACTTAAAGTACTTATATAAATATGTGATATGAGAAGACACACGCACACATCATATTTTTAGAACATCCGCCATCTTCCTGGACTCTGAGAATAGCCGATGTTTTGATGGAAGTAGTCTTCCAAACAGGGTCTATGTTGGGAGGATGGTATTCCAGTATACCCGCATGATATATCCCATGAAATCTTCCGTTGCAGATCATTGCAGCATATCCTATGATTGCAGGTTATATCCCGATCCAATCCCAGTGATATATCCCACTAAAGCCATTACTGGACATGGTTGGTTATATCCCATTTTATTGTTGGTTATCTACATAATATCCCCATATTTCATGGTTGAATGGTGCCCCACAGTCATAATCACCATAAATCCAACATAGCCTAGTTGTAAACCAACTTAGCCCATTCAATCCCCAAAAAATCCAAATTCTTAGCTGTTTAAATCCCAATTCTTTCGCATTTTGAGATGCTTGAATCCCACTATAACATCTCCATTAAATCTCCATGAAGTCCCACTAAATCCATCTGTAAATCCTATACGAAACAGAAATCCCCAAAAAAAATCTCCATGGAAATTCTGTAAATCCCATGAAATCTCCTTATGATTTTCTATCTCCAGACAAAAAAAGGCACAAGATGACTCGCTTCAACGCCACCTGTGTCGCCGTGGCGCTCACCGTGGGCTTCGTGGCGCTGCTCATTTCGATGCTCTTCGGGGAGGCGCTGTTGTTGGCGCTGGGCGCGACACCGGTGATGATCGAGGCCTCTACGGGGCCATGGTTTTCACATGTTTTCACCATCGAAACATGGTGGATTTCATGGAGTAGTGGGATGAAATCCCATCTGAAAACTTCTAAAAAATAAGGAGAGTAAAGTGGGATTTGATTGGATTTTATGGTGAGTAAATGGGATTGCAATCGGTTTTCATCATCTAAAAATGGTTTTTCAATGGGATTTGATTGGGATTTAGTGGGATGTCGTCATCTAAAAATGTGGATTTGGTGGGATTTCACCGTCAAAAACGTGGACATGGTGGGATTTAGTAGGACAGAAGTGGTTAGGATCCCCCGTTGGTAAGCATCCCAAGCGGGTAATCCCATATATAAATGGGTTTATCACTATGGTTACTAACCAGTTATGATTCGGGGGAAGAACCCCCAAGTAGGGATACCTGAATCTTATGAGGAGTAAATTGGGTTGCAATGGGTTTCACCATCTAAAAAGGGTGGTTGTGATTTTATCATGTAAAAATGTGGGATTTCTCGGTCTAAAAATGTGGACTTAATGGGATCGAATTTAGTGTGTTTTAATAGGATTCAATGGGATTAGAATGGGGCACCATACTTGAAAATGGTGATTTTATTGAGATTGTTTATGGGATTTCAGCTACAAAAATGACTGGGAGAGGTGGGACAATATGGATTACACAATATTACATATGTATAAGTATGCATGTGTGGAAATGTGTTATGCAAAATGTATAAGATGGTGCCTCATTAGTTAGTGAGCAAAATTGATTTACAAGTAGCTTAACTCGAATTCACGGCAGAACTATCTATAATATTCAGCACTATTCTATAGGTTTATAAACCAACTTATAGCATCTTATAAATGAGGGGCACTACCTTGTATTCTTATGAGTCATTGTGTAGTGACAACGTATGTATTATGCATAATTATGTATTTGAAATCTGTGTCAATTTGTCCATTTTCTGAAAGAATTTTTGCCCCTGATAATTCTCTGATTGGTTGAAGTTGAAGCCACCAACCAGTATAGTTTCATATAGTTTCCAAGATGTTCGGAGAGAATTTCATATTTGTCAGCTCTTTTTACCTCTTTTTACCAGCACCCACAGGTGGCCAAGAAATACGTCCGAATCCGGGCAGTTGGATTGCCCTTAGCGACCATGGCCTGTGCAATGTATGGTTTATGTGTCGGCAGAGGGGATACCAAGACGCCTCTGGTGGTGACAGTTTCTTGGCCCCCCAGATGCTCCACATGTTGCATCTGCTTTGGATCATAGAACCATATGAACACCCAAGTTTTTGGATTTGCCGGTTGCGTGTACCATCTGGTTATTTAACATAGCCATGGAAAATCACCATTTTTAATAGGTAAACCATCTATAAATGGGCCATTTCCCATGGCTATGTTAAATAACCAGAGGTAAATGTCTAATGTCCGATCTTGCTAATTCCTGTCTTGGGAGACCATTGTGTGTGTCATGTCGAAAGGAAGCTCATGCATCATACAGCTGAGCTATTGCTCCTTCATTGCATGTGCTATCCATCACCATCTGATTAGCTCAAGTGATCCATCACATGGCTGTGTCTGAAAACATGGTTGGCCAAAATCTGATGGTTTAGCACACGATCTTCCCATTCACATGGCAACTGGGTGTTCAATCCCCTCGATCCATGAGGTCTACTTGTCGGCCATCCTCAATGTCTTCTTCGATTGGCTGCTCTGTGCCCAGTCTCTTGTGCTAACGGCAACGTTCTGGCTGAAGTGGTTCCAAATGGATTGAGGTTTCCATAGTCATGGGGGTACCCCAATCGCTGATGGATACCCCCATGAGACCCCCATGACCTAGGAAACCTCCACAGTTCCGACGTTCACCCGAAAATTTTGCGGGATGGCGAAACGGGGTGGAAGCCACTGACCAGGTTTTTTTTTGTTGTTTGACACATCCCATCAATCCCATCCCTGAAATGATCCTGAATTTGGCTGATATCTTTGACATAATCATCCCATGATCATGTGAAAACGGGATCCCCGTTGTATATCTGAGATGGGTCATCCAGTACAAGAAATGGAAATGATGTTCCCAATTCACTGCAATGGTTCAAGGTTCTTTTCGAAAAAACCAGAAAAAAACATCAAACGAAAGTCTGGTATGGGTCAATGTTTAAAGTTGAAGACCCCGTAAACATGCAGATGTTTGATGATGTTTGTTGTGTTGTTCTTTTTACTTTGCACTATTGAACCAACAGATTTTGCGTTACCAACTGAATTGACCAACATCATAGCTGCTCATGTTTCAGGAGTCTTCCGGAATTCTTTCAATTTACATGTGCAGAAAAAATGGGCTAGAGGTGTCCCCTTCAACATGAATCCAGTTGATGGCATGCTTAGAAAGGCTCTGGATTTGGTTGGCTGGTAAGTGGGTCATAACCCATGAAGTATACCCAGTGGCATGTTTGGGGTTACCACGTTAAGAACCCATATTATACCCTATGCCTTATGTCAGTCATCTCATTAAATCTAAATTGAATCATATATATGTCCATTAGATACAACCAGTTTTCCTGGTTAAATACCTCTTTTAGTCTGTCAAATCCCCAGAATCCCTCATGATATCTCGATTATCCTACCATTGTATTACCATTACCACTAGCTCTAAATGATATATTTCCGTGATATCCCAACATGGCTGGCATCAGCCCCTTTTCCCATGTGTTTACCAGGTTTCCTTTCGGTGCCGCTGGAGCAGCCGTGGCCACAGTGGCTGCGCAAAGTAGCAGCTTCGTGGCGTACTTCGCGTTGATGCGACGCAACGGACACCTGAGGCGGAGGGCGGCGGGTTGGTTGACTGGTTTGTTTCTGTGACTGGGGGATACCCAAAAGTTCGGTAAATCTGGATCAATGATAGATAAACATATGAAAATACGGTAAAATGATGATAACTGATGATAGGGATTTGATGGTTGAATGGGTAAATTTTACATGAAACTCTTGGAAAACGATAAATCATTGGATTTTGGAGTTACTAGCTGGGCACCCAGACAGCCGCCTGTGAATGTTGTTGCCATTGCCAATGGTGGAATTCCCCAACAAAACTTGCCAAGGTTTACTCGATGGTTTGGTCGTGTCGCCAGGCTGCCTTCTTTCAGAGACTTTTGGCCTTCATGGGCCGAAACCAAGCCTGTACCTTGGTAGTAGAGCTAGTGAACTGATGGCTGATTGCATTTTTGTTGGCCTCAACATATACGCTGTCCAGCAGAAAACATTTGATCCTGTATTTTGACGTATTTTGTAGGTGCTATTGATTGTAAGAAATGTTGAGCCGCAACGCTACAAATACCTCCAAGAATGGGTTTTGTCGATTACATTCAGAACACACGTGTCAATCGGGAAAGTCCTGAGAATTTCTGGGATGTGGGAGGTTTGCTGAAGGCTTACAATGGGATTTTATCATTTCTTATCACCAGATATCCCAATTCTACGTGGTTAAGAAGACTCATGGCCGTCGGGTTTCATCTAACCGAAGCAATATCCCCATCCCATCCCTATTCACTATTTTCATGTCCTCCCCCTAATGTTACATAATATTACCTTGAAACGAAACCCTGGCGGGATGTATTAGATTTATTGTGATTTATTCATTTTTGGGTACCAAAAAAGGGCGTATTTTGTATTGCTATTTATACAATATAAGTTTATATACATTATATTTACATGCCCGTTTCAGGATGGTTGAACCATGTCAAAGTTCCGCCCATTTTGATTGCTAACCCCTTCTTTTTTCATAACGCTCGGATGACATCACCATTTACCTCAAGGAACCATCTATGAGTTAAGGTTCTGTCCATCTACGTGCCAGTGGCCTTCATCGTCGTTTGCGTGCTGTCCATGTATGCCTGCATGTCAGGTTTCGTGAATCAGACGCAACCCTTGGTGATGCTGCTTGGCGGGGTGAAAGGTCTAGCCTTCCGGCCTTCCAGTTGCCTTCCTTGTTTACCTCTGAAAAATGTAGCCATTTGGTGATTTTACGTGACAAGAATGGGGTTGGTGACTTGGCTATACCTATTCTACAGGTTATATCAGGTTATAACATGGTTTAACTCGCCCTGGTTCTGTGATACAGTTGCTTTTTAGCACTTGAAAGCTGAGGTTCAGGTGTGTTTTTGCTAGTTTTGTAGGCTGATCCCTGAGAAAGAGGTAGCAGAGCTGGTCCAGTGTACTTCGATTTTGTGTGAAAGACAGGATGTCCCATGATCATTACGTACCCGTCACAAACTGTAGGATAGAATACTATCAACGGTTCCAGCTATCTACAGCGTATTGGTTGTGCATTGCGCTGTGAGTCCTGAGCGGGTCCCCTTTTTAGGTCACCATGCCGGTATGATCCAAGCCCTTTTTCTCGGGCGGTTTTGGAGGTCCTCTGGTCCCATTTGTCAGGTTTGGGAAATGAAACGGCTGATCTTTTTCCCAGAATTGCGATTCACAGTCTCTCCATGTCTCTCCCTCATTCTTGGACAAAGCCACATCACTGGTGGGACATATTTTGCTTTACTATATCCCTATTTGGTTGGTCTTATATCATATATAATGTGTATTAATTGGTGTTGTTGATTGAAATCATCTTAAATTCCATTTAAGTGATGTTTAAAACCCAAACAATTCTATCGGCTCAGGATGGTTTGCCAAGTTATTTCTTGGTTGAACCTGCCAGGATGGCTGCCTACCATTTGATATGTCGTATATATATATATATTCTATATCATTCTTAATTCTCATCACTATCTAAAATTACATATTGATATTGATACCATGTTAGATAACCCTATTATTGCTTATTATACCCCTATCATACCCCGATAGGTTTTCATTCCCAGTATATCAGCAGTAAATCACCCTTGGATCTATCCCCTATGAACACCCCTATTTTTTTCTCGGTTAAAACACCCTCAGGATGGTTTGCTATATGTTCACATATTGTCCGATGATGTTCCCATGATTTTCCTATTTAACCATATTAAACATATATGTTTCATATATATATATATATACATATATATATATATATACATATATATATATACATATATACATATATATATACATAAAGACAAAAAAAAACAACATTCCTCAGGATGGCCGCCTACAAGATCTGGATCACCGTCTTCGCCTTCTTCGCGCTGTGCGCCGATCCCTTGGCTGCAGCCACCAGCACCAAGCTGCCACCCTTTGTGTTGAAGCCACTGGGCCGATTTATATTGGATTTATCTGACCTGGTATGGGATATATAGAAATTCTATAGGAACTACATGGGATTTATATATGGCTATATACATTTATATGGGGCTGATGGGGATTGTATCGAAACTATATAAGATTTTTATTTGAGAGAATTGCGTGGAATTGTAGAGTAACTGATGAGAGAGATTGGGGGAAAATTGGGAAATATGGAGATGGGATATAACCAGTTCACATGGTTTCCTGCGACTATACGATGCGTTTCTCTGCGTCCTTGTAGTTCTTGTTTCGTTTTGTGCCAGGTGCTTCTGTCATTGGTGTTCTGGTGGCACCTTAGTAATATGAATATATTAAATTTGCAAATCCATGTATATCAATACATGTATAAAACACATTTCCTTATATAGTATCTATACGTATACATACACATTTGTTTTGACGCATTGGATTGGTTTGTATACAACTATATGTACATTGTATAGCTATATTTTTACATATACAACAGTTCTGACCAGTCAGCCAACATGGTTTTGTAATTGGACAAACTTGGGGAGCGACTGCGGATCTGGCGTCCTGAGCATAACATGTACATATGTGGTTTATTTCATCAATTTGTGAACTTTTTTTTTGGTATTATAAGCTCATCCTTAACCCCATCTAAAGGATAACTGGTTGGTGGTTTCAAACATTTTTTCTTTAGCTTCTGGCCCATCTCCCTACCAGCGGGGAAGCGGTGCAAGCCGAAAGGTGGGTGTACCTGTTCACTCGGTGTTCGTTTTGCCATGGCTCTCTGGGGTGCCGAGGGTCAGATCCACACGTGGGTTTGGGACCCGGCCTCGGAGGTTGGATCCAAATGGGATCTTGTGGCGGAGTTGGTTAGCCAGACGGATGAGGCCCTTCTGGTATCACTGTGGCCTTGTGGCCGGATGGCCAAGGTGATTGGGGCGCCCAATGCCCAAAGTGACCATTGTGCAGTCTCCATCTTTGACGCCACTTTGATTGGAAAAGAAGGGATTCCGGTGTTCTTCACTGACAACCCTTCGGATGCTTTGTTTCACAAGCAGGCCATTCGTGACGATTTCAGGAACGTTTTGGAACTCTGTGCAGGCCTCGGGATTGGTGCTATGGGCTTTGCTGCAGCTGGCATGACGGTGGTTGGTGCCTGTGATTGGTCGGCTCCATTCACACAGGCTTTCAGTGAAGTCCATCCAGGAGTCCCTGTCATCACTGGCGATATCGGAGACAAAGAATCTCTGAAGCAGTTGCATTGCCTTCATGGACGACCCACAGTGATGATGAGCGGTTTCTCTTGTCAGCCGTATAGCCGAGGCGGTAGGCAATTAGGAGCCCTAGATGCCCGATCTGACACCCTTGGGAAAACCCTGAGGGCAGCTGTGATGCTCCGTAGCCTTGCGGTAGTGCTGGAGTGTGTACAGGACGCCGGATCCAACTCAATGGTCCGCAAAGAGCTGGATCAGTTTCGATCACAATGCGGGTTTCACTTGGCCGAGATCATTTTGAGGTTGGAAGATGTCTGGTGTTCCCGGCGAACCCGCTGGTGGGCACTTCTTACAACCTCATTTGTAGGTGCCGTGCCACTCCGCGCATTCGAGCATTCGACGCATCCGACAGTCCCCCGTCAGGTCTTGTCTGGTCCCATGGTCCTGTCCCCTGAAGCACTGAGCCAACTGGAGCTGAAAGGTGAGGAACTTGCCAGGTTCCTGCAATTTGAGCCACATCTTGCAAAAATGCTGTTGCGTCGTGATGCCCAGTGTCCCACAGCGTTGCACTCTTGGGGTAGTCAAGCGGTAGGCTGTCAGTGTCTTTGCAGGTCAAGTGGATTCAGTGATGAAACATTGAGCAGCAGAGGATTGTTTGGAATTCTTCTGCCTGTGCCTGGGGATAGCTCCATCTCAGATCAGCCTCGATTTCGCCACCCACACCCTTTGGAGGTGAGCCTTTTGAATGGAGTGCCGGAATTGGTGTGGCCATCGAACCTCAGGCTGGTCCTTGCGGGGCTTGGACAGATGTGTAGCCCGCTCCACACGGTTTGGATTGGAGCATTGTTGCAACATCATGTTGACATGGTTTTTGCTGGTCAGAGTGCAGTCGATCCGCAGGCTCTTCTTGATCAGTTGAAAGGACAAGTTCTTGAACTCACCACCCATGTCAATGTTGAGTCAGTTGCTCCACCTGAGTTGCCTGAGCCGCCTGTCAATGCCTCCATGGACTTGCCTCTTGATGATTGGTCTCGTGTCCCGTGGTCTCGCTTTTGTCATGAGGGTGGACCTGAATCTGTCACTGTTGTACTTGCGCATGAGCCTGTCCCGTTTCAGGTCAAGTTGACATCTCCTGATGACTCTGTTGCTGCGATTGTCCTTGCCTGGTGTGAACTGTCAGGTGAATCGGATGAACGTTGCAGGGTTATTGACTGCCAATCTGGACTTCCCTTGAATTTCTCGCAGCCTGCCAGTGGACTTTGCTTGTGGATTTGTCTGGATGCTGATGACCTAGGTGAGTCAGGGAAGACTGAACCTACTGGTGATTTGTGGACTTTGCCCAACGACGGTAACCCTGAGGTTACCACTGACCATGGGACTTCTGACGTGCCGGAAGAAACCTTGCACAGCCCCAATGCCGCTCCTTCGAAACTTGAACCGTTGACTGCTCTGGAAGCTGGACGTTTGGTTTCGTTGCCTCCCCCGGCTGTCTCTGATGTTGACACTGTTCATGCGTTGCGTCGTCAGTCGATGTCCGCCGATGCTCGAAAACAAGTCCTTGCCAATCAGTCTGCTTTGTGGTCTGATGATGAGCTCATTTGGCATGTGTCACAAATGCTGGAGGTTGCCAACAAGCCAACTTGGGTTTTGCTGGATCCTTTGATCACTGCTGAAGCTTTGAAGCGCCCTAGTAGTGGACTTTTGTCAGCTTGGTTGCGTAGCCAGCCGGTGAAGCCTACTGCAATCCTTGGACTTGTAATGGCTCATGGCCATTGGATCCCCTTCATTTGGACTTGGACTCCGGCCTGCATGATCGCTTCAAGTTGGGATGTTCCAGGGTCGCCTCCTCACGAGCTGTCCATGCTCAACACTGCGCTTGCGCTTGCTGTGGGTGCTCGTACGTTCACGGTCCATGTTGTCCATCGCAAGTTTGCTACGGATTCCTATTGTGGGTTGTGTGCGTTGCGCTTTCTTGACCATATGATCAGAGGCAAGATGTTGCCGACTGACATGCATGAAGTCAAGTACTTGCACTCTGTTGGAAGGTCCTTGTTTGCTGCCTTTTTGGATTCCCAAACTGAAGTGCCGCGGCCATGGATGTGGGGTGCTGGTCTTGATGTCAAAGCCACTGAAAGACTGCATGGACTTTTGCTTGATCATGGAGTGGACAGCCAACAAGTGAAGAACCGTGCCCACTTACTCGTCCAAGCCATTGGCCCAGCCGTTGCGCAAAAGGCACTCACCAGTGGTCAGCCGTGGCGGGGCCTTAAGCAAGCAGCCAATCAATGCCGACCGGCTTTTCAACTGGTTTTACCTGATGAACTGGAGCAGACGGTCAAACGCAAAGCAGAGCAAGGTGGTATGAAAACCAAGCGCAAGAAGCAGCAATCTCAGACCAAAATTTCCTCCAAGCCTGAACCTCCAGCCGCGCTTGATCCCAGCAAGTTGTACCTTGAGCCAGATTCTTTCATTGCGCCTGATGGGTCTTCGCTGTCGCAACTACCCATGACGTCCATTGGCCCGCTTGCTTCTGGTGTTGTCCTCTCGACTGCTAAAGAGGCTGGTGCTTAGCTGAAGGCTAACCAGTTGGTGTCCGAGTCGGCTTTGGCGTTGCTGTTGCTCAATGTTGACGGAGATTCCTTGTCAACTGGCTTGCCGTGGTCGTCCCTCCGTACTGTCTTGCGGTGCCATGTCAACGGAGAACCCCTTCTTGCGCCTTGTGTCCTTGTCCAACTTGGGAAACAGTTGGTATCCACTAAGCCGGGTGAAGTGGGACCGGCAGTCACGCCTGTCGATGTCGTTTGCCTGAAGATTGCCCTTTACAGAGATGCCATCGAAGGCGGCTGGAATCATGTCGTTCAGAGCCCAGTCAAGTACGCTTCTGGTCCTTCTGGTGTGTGTACCTGTCTCAAGTGGCATGCCTCCCCTTCAGATGATGTCTCTGACCCGGTGGTTGACGTCTGGAGACGCCAGTGGCTGACCTCTGCCTTTCGCCCTGTGGCTCCTCAACAGGCAGAAGTCTTCTTGGTCAATGTGCGCATCGTTGAGAAGTTGCTCCCCGCTGTTCTTGGCTTTTCTGGTCGGCTTGGACTGTTCCTCGAACCCAGGTCCCTTGACGGTCGTGATCCCCATTTGGGTTTTCAGATCTTGTGGCTGCCGAAAACTCCACATGACGAGCTCCTTCGACTCCAACAATGTCACCCCCAAATATTGGGGCTTGCCCGCCTCGGCACCCGCTTTGGTGTCCGCTGTCGTGTTGCTGATGCACCTGACCTTGCCAAGCTTCTCAAACCCAGCTCAGTGTTCCTAGCTGCAGGGGCTCGTTTGATGTTTGAAGTGGGTCCACTGCCTTTTGGACTTGATCGGCTTTCAGTTGGAAAACTTTGCGGAGGTTGGGGATGGCAGGCCAGGCCATTGCACCCGGCCAGGTCAGCTGAGGGGACTCTCGGCAATATCTGGTTAGTCCAAGCCAGTGCACCGCCTCCACATCCAGTGGTCAGGTACCAAGGCCATGAAGTTGTGATCACCACCGTGCCTGACAAGCCCGTGAATGCCACCCCGACAGCAGCCCAGGTTGTTGGCAGTGCAGCTACCGTCAAGATGTGCACCAAAGACAGTGCCCCGAGCGGCAGTGACCCTTGGCTCCTCAATGATCCCTGGGCCCCGGCTGGTTCCTCTCCGCCCGCGCGCCTGTTGACGGTCAATGATACCACCCTCAAAGACTTTGAGTCCCGCTTGGAAAAGTCCATCCTTTCCAAGATGCCTGCCCCAAACATGGATGTTGACAGCACAGGTGAACAAGAAGCCAGACTGATCGCCCTTGAGCACCAGGT